CTTTTTGTTGTTTTTCCTTTAACAGTGTTACTTCCTTCTCTAAATCCTGTCTAACGGAAGCCAGTGTCTGTTGCTTATCTCCCCCGCTCGCAATTGCGCTCCTTACCTCAGTAATTTGTTTCAGAATATCCTTGAGAAATGCTGCCTTTTCTGTTTCTTTGCATTTCTCCGTTAGTTTTTCAATTTCCTCGAAAATCAATTTTACGGTTGCGAAACGGCTTTTGTCCAAATAGGACGACTCTGAGATTGTCCCTAATTTATCGCAAAATTCATGAAGTGTCTCCTTGCGCATCCCTGTCAGTAGACCATGACATTCCAATAATAAATCATCAATTTCTTCCCCAGTTAGTGCCATTTTGATACTACTAAAATACACGAAAACAGTCTCGACTATCCGCAATGGCACAACTTTAACGGGCCTAACGTAAACAAACGCAACTGAGAGATCGAGAAAGACACAAGAAAATCAGACTCAAGCCTCGCCAACAAAGCACGAAAAAAATCATGAGAGAAAAACAACAAATCTTGATAAGATATTGCCAAATAATTGCATCATTTCAACTTCTGTGTTCTTCTGGGTGGCTTCTTCTTGAGAACATCAATTTTGAAAGAAAAAAATTGAAAAGATTTGCACTTACAGTTACTTGTCACGTCGCGGTCACCAGAAATGTGGCCCGGTTCGAGTGCAAATCAATTAGCTTCAAGCAATAAACACAGAAAACACGACATAGTTTTCCAACGCAAACCTTTATAAAAAACCAAATACTCTTTACAACTCCTTAACTTGATTCGAACAGTCCCTCTCTCTAACTAAACTAACTAAAAAGTCCTCTTCCCGGGGGTAAGTCAGTTCTTGTAATAATGGTTAAAAGGGGGGTCTTCGGAGAGGTCCTCACAGTTACATACAACTTACATTTGACATATTATGATTGGCAGTTCGATTACAATTAAAGACGAAACGAGGTTAACAGAAGCGAGACTAATCTTGTTACAGGATGAGTTGTGGGTCAATGTTCATTGAATATGGCAAAGAAACTTGCAAAGAGTGAGCACTGGAAGAAAATCTAGTATCACGAATTTGTCGCAGAGGACTAGGGATAATATCTCTGAATTCATGAGAATAATGTCCGTGGTAGAATCATCTCTATGGGAAGAATCTACAGAACATTGAGAGATCGGCGACACAGCGCCAATAAGAAAGAGTCTGCAGTGAGGTTGGAGTTGTTGATGAGACGAATGGCTTTGAATTGAACTTCGTCAACGAGTCTGTAAAGAACACTGATGAAAAAACACTTTAAATTGCTTGGAATATCTCCCCAGCAAACCGCCGTGAGTTTGTCCTGGTTCTAAAGCTTATGGAACTGGCAAAAACAACAATAAAACCTGCAAAAATGTTATTGAACTATTCACGCAGTTTCATCTCTGCGAAAGTGATCTTATGGGAAAATTCCCCCAATGATTTCCATTTCATTTTCTCATGTCTACTCCCGTTTTCTAGAAAGAAAAGGTTCATTAGGCGGGAAGTGCCACAGCTATTATGCCACCACGGCCCGCCACGGGTGGCAGCACAATTCACACGAGACGCGTTATCATTGTCGTTGTCCCAAGTTGAGAATTTGTAACCAGTTTCCATGGAGTCTCCAATGTCACCTGCGTATCCATCAATATGTATCGTGTACTCTGTCTCTCTTCCTGCAATGAGAAATTCAGTATACTTTGCAAACCCTTGCGTGCCATTTGTCGCTTTAAGGTCTATTCTCAAGGTGACATTTTCACGGTTTGTCAAATAGTGGATTGTGTCCAGCCCCAACCAGAAATTGCCCTCCAAATCACCAAAGCCTTGTGTACATTCCTGCCATGTTCTGTTGAAATTTGTTTGATTTGTCACCCTCCGTAAAAACACAGTCCACCCACCACCGTCTGTTTCCATATCACAGTATACTTGTGCAGATTTACCGCCTGGTAACCGTATCTTGATGACTCCGCTGCCAAGGTTTCCTGCATTGTATGCGTCTTTGCAGCTTCGATATGTTGAACCTATGAACAAAATGTTGTTGGTTACCAAAAGAATGCCTGAAATGTCTGACCCTTAATCTATCTCTTTGCTAATTTCATAAATCTTTTTTTTCATTTTAAGATATTGAATTTTGTACTTTTACTCTAAAACTAAACTAGAGGGCAATTATAATGAAAATTGAAGCTTCAATTTTCATGCTTGCGAGTAAACTAGGCCCCAGATTAATTTCTTAGATCCAGTGTCGTAGATAGAAAAACTCATAGGAGGGTCGAGAAATCTAGATAATTTATGATTCTAGATTTTCGTTGTAATTTTTTGATGGATTTAGACATGACATGTTAAAACAAAAAGAATCAGATGCTCAACCAACTTAATCATTTTTTCTAAGTCAAATGTCATAAATTATACTACTTTACAATTTTCTGGTCTTTTCCTCTTAAAAGGCATGTCTCTTCGAAGCCAATCCAAGCAGATAAACTAAATAAAAATGTGTCAAGTACATGTTTGGGGAAAATCCAAGGTTTACCCCTACGATGTGGTAAAATAAGGGTTTTGTTTTCTTTGTAACTGTTGTGTTCATTTGTCACCTTGGAGGGGAATCCAAAGCGCCAGATAAAATATTTACCTTTTTTTGCTAAAAGTGTACTTTTGGGCAACTAAACAAGCTCAAAAGGTACATATAACACAGCTTACAGTCAGGGGGCAAATTAGGGGGTGTCGGGGTAACAAATGACGGAAAGAGTCAGTCCTAGCCAATAAGTGGAGGATTCCAGTTACTCAAAACGCTAGAAAATGCAATTTCTAACATATCTTTGGATTCACTATGACACAAGTGGAAGGAGCTAGAAATGATTATAAGGCTATGTCATTTGATACAAAGTGAAGCAAATATTTCATCGAACTTTGAAGAAGTAATTTCATCGAATTAATGACCAAACAAAACGCAACCGTTAAGAAAATTAGGCCGGACCCAACTTTCTTGTCAAAATCAATGTATGGCCATTGAAAAGGGACCTGAAGTACCTACTCGTTACAAAACATCAGCGACGCTGGAACGACCTAAGGGGCAAAAGAGGGGGGGGGGGGGGGTGCAGGCTTGAGTTAAAGGGCATTCGAAAGATAATTTTCAGCTTCTACTTATTCCTTCGTATCTGCCATTTTATTTCGATCTTCTGTAGGTTTCTTGAGCATTGGCTAACTTTTGGCATAAGGAACTTTTTTGCAAGTTTTGAGAACTGAATTAGGCACTACAACCAGAATTTAATACAAATTAAAAATGGCCGGTTTCAAAGGCACTTAAATGAAAAGGGCACTCTGCCCCCCCCCCTTGCACATCCTATCAAAAGGCAACAGCGGCAGTTGACCCCCTGCGCCCCCTTCCCCAGCGTTCCTCAAAAAACATGAAGTCAATGTTTTGAGTTAAAAGTAATATATTTAATTTATCGTGGAAGTTACTTGAGACAACAGATGGACTTATCTAGGATGAAGGAATTAAACAACCGAATTGTCTGTTAATTAGGTCTCTGAAGGCCAGTAGAGCCAAAGAGACTCATTGAAATTCAAATTTTTCCCTAGAAGTGGGTGGGGCTTGAGTCAGGACATCCTAAACACCGATAAACACAGACTGTCTTCGGAGTATGTCTGTGTGCCCCATGTGTGCAGTGCCCTCCACTCATGGGTCAAAATATGATTAATTTTTTGCGCCAATGCGAACAGTACAAATTTGTTGTCTATATAATGCAGTACTAAAAGGGCACAAAGGCGTGCCCTGAAGGTAAACTGTTCTAGGGGGTATGAGGGCATGCAACCCAAGAAAGTTTTGAATTTTAGGACGTTTTCTTTGTCCCTGCTGACCTCCTAGAGACCCAATAACAAGAAAAGTCGGTCGTATCAAACTTTTTTCGAGTTTTCGGTGCCTTATGCAAGCTTTAGCGCTCCTATGAAAAAGTCAGTTGGGGAGCCCTGTCCCCCCTACCAGGCCTTCACTGAGTCCGATTCAGAGAAAAAATCAAATACTCAAGAAATAAATTTAACGAGATAAGACACCAAAAAATTGGAAAATCAAGGGTTCCCAGGCAAGAAGAACTGCTACAGCTTAGGATTGGTTGATTTACTAACTCGGTAATGAAATATCAATACAATATAAAAGGCATAAAGCTCCCTCAGAGGGCATGAAACTGCCATAGACATCAGAACGACAGTCATGAGGCTACATTCCCACATCATCGAGAGCGAGTTGGGCCGTTGATGCATTGGCGCAAACCGTTCAACGTTCTATAAATCACTAAAAAGGGTTACTAAAGGAAGTTACAAAATAACCCACAGATATGCTTGATAATTTGGAGAGAATTTACAGGAAAAGCCTCTACCCCCCATTAATAGCCGATGCACCAGTCCTACCAAGTAGCATCAAAAACGCCAAATAGCATCAAAAATGATGCCTAAAGGTATGAGAGGTTTTAGCGATGCCGTGAAATAAACACAACACGCAAAGCTATACTTAAAAGGTATTTTGCATAAAGAAACTAAATGCGGGAGGGAGGGCTGGGAAATACAATAAAACAGGCTAGTTGTATTGTGGCTTCACCAAGCAAGGTGAGACCCACGCCATGCCAAAACTTCAAATACTCAATGATTGCAATGATTTCCCAAAACTAAAAATTTCGAATAATGACAAGGCCATATACTACCCACTTGCATTATGCCTATCTTTAGAGCCTTCGATTGCAAAAATCCAGCCGTATGGGTCGAACAGATCCATGAATATTTTTTTTGCATCCCCCCCCCATCCCCCCCACAAATAATCTATTTCTGGTTGTGGAAAAATTCTACTATTTGCCATCAGCACAAACACTTCCCTTGCTGCCTTAGTCTTGTGCAGGTGCCTCTTTTTTTTAACTTATAGATTTGTTCGAAGTCATAAAAAGAAAAGTAAAAATATTTAAATGAAACAGAAAACCTTAATATTATATTGCAGCGTTACCTTCTGGAGAAACTTTCTTCCAGATCTTGAATCCAGTTCTGTTTTTTGGTATCTCATCTTCATTTGATATTTGAGTGTATTTTTTTGTATTCATATCCAGTGATAGATATTTGCAGCTTTCCACTAGACTGCATTTATGAAAGTTCTCGCTAAAAACTGTTGTACCCAAGCTTAGATCAGAACCTTCATCTTGTGCATCTCCAAGCTCGATGAAGTAAGAACCTTTTGATACAAGGTTGCTGCATATAACAGATAACTGAAAAACTGAGAAAATGGCAAAGAACATTGATGCATTCACCATGGTGGCTTTTTGGTAGTCCACTAGCCCTTGTCTGCAGTAAAACAGCTCCGCGATTTTTATCAACCAAACTTCAGTGAATAATAGAATCAAGTTTGTTGATAATTCCTTGTGCGTATGATAAAAGCTTTCTTTTGTTTGTCTGCATAGAAACTAGGTTAGCAATAAAAACACAGTATCAATGTATGCACCTGTAAGTATATAATGTTATTCTAAGTGGGTAGCGGAATTGAATGGGGCTTATTGTACCAAGTGGTTTTTGGATTTATCAATATAAGAAGATTGTATGCAACTTTCACGAGTCAACCTTATGAAACGTAGTTTTCCTCACTCTCCGTAAGTAGAGGAAGTGTCCATTGTAGGGCACACTTTTAGGGGCCCTTTACATGAGACCCAAAATGAACTCATGCCGGTGTCATATGCGTTTCTGCATGGGCATGCGTTTCTGCATGGGCATGCGTTTCTGCATGGGCTGAGACACATATGCGTTCACATATTCTTCGCTTTATGTTAGCTAGTTGCTGTTTTCTAACTAACAAGTCTAATCTTGTTATTAAGGTTTTGTGGCGATGGTTTTGTGGCGATGGATCATTTCACAAACCTTTATTGAAAGTTGTTAGGAAACGCACATCCGTTGAAACACATTTGTGTCCTGTCTAACGCATATGCGCTTCACGCCATTCACAGCTAGGCCCTGCATGTCCGCCATTAAACTGTAACACTTGAAACGCATATGCGTCTCGGCCCATGCAGAAACGCATGCCCATGCAGAAACGCATAGTACACCGGCATGAAAATTCAGTGAAATTTGCTCGCCGTTATATGAAACCCGACACGAAACTGTCGCATTCTTTCGCATGATAGGTTCTTAATTCTTCATACCATGTAATATTTCTTATTAATTAAAAGACTCACACATCTGCTTGTTTTTAGTTGTCTCTGTTTTTCTGTTAGTGAAGAAATTCTAATTACCGCTTACATTTTTTGGAATCCCAGTGTTTTTTTCCCCGACATGATTGCAACCAACGAGCCGAAATAAAGAAAATGGCGACAAAATCAATCCGTAGCGTCCACCGTGCAGCATTTGTGCAACGTAGGCGGTTTTATTAATGATTCTCCCCGATATGAAAAAATTATCTGTTTACATGACACTTTCGTGCCGGCATGAAACTTCATCCCGGCACGAAAAAGCGACATGAGATTTTCGTGTCGGCATGAATTTTCATACAGGTGTAATATGCGTTTTTGTACCCTATGCAAAAGTGTAACATTGTGAAACGCAATCTGTTTCAAATCCTGTGATTTCATCGTAGTGCGATATTTTGACACGTTATAATTAACAAAGTGAACACAATGCCGAAGCGCATATGACACCGACATAAGTTTCATTTCGGTCAATGCCATGTAATCACAACAGTAGCTCAGACCAGCACCCGACATGAAACTCGTGCCGGTGAATATGCGTTTTGGTACCCTATGCAAAAGTGTAACATTGTGAAACGCAATGTGTTTCGTTTCGGGTCTCATGTAAAGGGCCCCTTAGGCCTGGTTCAAACGTCGCACTTCTCATGTGCCGAACCTAAACCCCCCGCACATGAACAATTTCAGGCCGGTCTGAAACTCAGGTCGTCTTGAAATTTGATGGTGCGTGCTAATTTTGCTCCCGCTCACATGGATGTTTTCAAGCCGGCTGGAAAAAGCCACAGGGTTTTGCACATGCGCATTTACGGCGAAATTTAGATCAAAACAATCATGGCGCCCAATAATTTGATGAAAAGGTTTATTTTAAATCAGTTGTTGAAATCTATTTTGGTTGTTTTAGTCTCGGCTTTGCAACTTCATTTTATTTTGCTTCTTCAACTTATGTTTCAACTCAATTTCAACTTCAACTTTTGTTTCAACTTCTTCAACATGTACCGTTTCTTTATTCCGAGAGTTTTCATGACGTCCAACAGAAGCCAAATAGATTTTGGCAAAGTAAGCACAGGCTGTATCTTGCACTATTCAATGGTGAAATGGCGCCAAATTTATCAAACATGTATCCCAGAACTCTAATTTGCATCCCAGAATGCAATTTATTTTTCTCCGCGAGTTTCATTTCGCCCCGACTTGAAAAACGTTTCTGCTCACATGCGGATTTCAAGTCGACCTGAAATTTCAAACCGACCTGAACAACCGTAACGAATTCAGGTCGACCTGAGTTTCATTTCGCCCTTTCTCATGTGAGCACCTCAAGGGCTCAGACCGCAGACTGAAATGAATTTCAGGTCGATCTGAGTTCAGACCGGCCTGAAATTTCTCATGTGAGGGGGGTCTAACTCTGTTTGGAGCGACACTTGAGCATGTTTAGCGCGACTCCCGTTTCAAACGTCGAACTTAATTATGTCGCGCCAAATGAGTTTTAGGATTGTTACATGAAGTATCTTGGTTAAGGCGCGCAATCTCAAATATTTATTTGACACATGCGCCCTCCAAGAAAGAAATGAATTCTGGGAAGGAAAATAAATTAAATATAATTATGCATTGAGTTCGGTACATGACAAGTTCGACGCTTGAAACCGTGCCGTGCTGGAGTCGTGCAGCTCGGCAAGCTCTGCCGATCCAAACTAGTCTGCCGCTCCTAACTAAATCTGCCATACCAAATTGATTCAAACGTCGCGCCACTCGTGTACTCAATTGTCGAGTTAGGTTCGGCACATGAGAAGCGCGACGCTAGAACCAGGCCTTAGGGCTCTACTGATTTTGGTGACAGAGCTTTGATGTTTCCTTTCCAGTTTTTCCCGAGCGTTTTAAGCTTGGAAAGTAAAATAGTGTGATCTGTTGTAAACTTCCATAATTTCAGGATTTCATGATAAAGAGGGCGAGAATTGAATTTTGACCAAACAACTTCTTATATAAAATACTTAGAGAATACGGTTACACAGCTCAATGGCTAATTATATGTTTTTCCTTCCACTTTTATGATTTTCTCGTCTACCCTCATGAAACCTCCACGACGAGTCCTAAGTACGATACTCACTTTGTTAAGAATTTTACACGTGGTTACTCACAAATCCAATTTAAGCAATGATATAATTTCGGCGCACGGGGGTACGCTTCATAATTCTAACATGATCTACCGTGTCAAACGCTTTTCAAGTTCCAAGAATATTCCGAAATTGACGTTTCATTTATTCACATTAGCAAACCACGTTTCCATAATGTTCAATTAGGACGTTATTGTACTGTGGAAATTTCGAAACGCAAATTGATTTTTTGAAATTGACCAGGTACAAGTTTTTTCAAAATCCAGTATCTTGTGCAAATCGATGTATCGATGCCACTTCTCTGCTTTGAGTCAACTAACAAATCATTTACAAACGATCTCCCTACGTGTTACTTTGCGAACGTGCGTGCGTGTACAATGCTACAAAGAGTTTTTTAGTTGGTAATATTAGAGAACTAATAAAGAAAATTAGGGCGGGATTAAGAATAGAGGCAGGAAAGACCCCGGTAGTTTATTTTATTTGGGGTATTAACAGGTTACAATAGTCAGGAAAGCAAGAAGAGGGTGGAGCGTTTACAAGATTTAGGGAAGAAAGACGGTAAGGGGCTTTAGTTTGCCCGGAGGGAGGCGATAACTCAGATAGAGGTTCTCTTCATTGTACCATTTGAATCATTATCAATTCAAAACTTCACGACTCTTTGACTCTACGACTCTACGACTAAATACAATTCTTGTAATAATAAGTTATATGCATGTTACATTTGACATATTATGTTTGATATATGATTGGCAGTTCGATTACAATTAAAAGCGAAACGAGGTTAACGGAAGCGAGACTAAGCTGAAGGGGGAGAGGGAATTTGGTGAATCCGGATAGATTTAGCCTGCGTGCAGACTCTACTGTTTTCAACTCGGCTCCTGACTTTCCTTTTTTCCACCTTTCCGTTGTGTTGAATTAAAAATGTCTCTGATCTCATGAGAACAATGTCCGTGGTAGAATTTACAAAACATTGAGAGGTCGGCAACACAGTGCCCATAAGAAAGAGCCTGCAGTGAGGTTAGAGTTGTTGATGAGACGAATGGCTTTGAATTGAACTTCGTCAACGAGACTGTAAAGAACACTGATGAAAAAACACTTTAAATTGCTTGGGATATCTCCCCAGCAAACCGCCGTGAGTTTGTCCTGGTTCTAAAGCTTATGGAACTGGCAAAAACAACAATAAAACCTGCAAAATTCGTGCCTTTCAATGGCTAAATCTCAAGGAATTTTGAAAAGCAATGATTTTCGTCGTGTTTCTTTAAATTAAATAACTTGCTACTTGGAAAGAGCCCAAGGTGTACTGGCAGGGTTTGGGCCCAAACGTCATGGTCCTTTTTATCTTGTTAGAGTTTTATTTTCACTTATTTGTCATTTTGTTTATAGGTGCCCACTAGGACGCGTAAACATAGTTGCTTTCAACTGATCTCTAGAGAGGTGCTGCAGACGCTACTTTTGAATCCAAAATGGGCTTTGGAAAATCACATGGAGGTCAGTGTGAACCACATAATAAAGGAGCCTATTGATTTTGGAAACCATCGATCCCCAGTCTCTACATGCAACCGAAACATCTACTGGTTGCAAAATAAGGTGTGTTTTCCTTTAAAATGTTACTACTTGGCTTGTATTTTCTACTGTTTTTTATTGTACTATTCACGCAGTTTCATCTCTGCGAAAGTGATCCTATGGGAATGTTCGCCCCACGTTCCCCATTTCATTTTTTCCATTTTTTTCCCGTTTTCTTGAAAGAAAAGGTTCATAAGGCGAGCATTGCCACAGCCGCTAAGCCACCATGGCCCGCCACGGGTGGCAGCACAATTCGCATCAGACATGTAATCATTGTCGTTGTCCCAAGTTGAGAATTTGTAACCAGTTCCCATGGAGTCTCCAATGTCACCTGCGTATCCACCAATATGTATCGTATACTGTGTCTCTCTTCCTGCAATGCGAAATTCAGTATACTTTGCAAACCCTTGCGTGCCGTTCAAAGCTTTGAGGTCTATTCTCAAGATGACATTTTCACGGTTTGTCAAATAGTGGATTGTGTCCAGCCCCAACCAGAAATTGCTCTCCAAATCACCAAAGCCTTGTGCACATTCCTGCCACGTTCTGTTGAAATTTGTTTGACTTGTCACCCTCCGTAAAAACACAGTCCACCCTCCGCCGTCTGTTTCCATATCACAGTATACTTGAGTTGTTCTACCGTCTGGTAACCCTATTTTGATGACTCCACTGTTAAGGATTCCAGCACTGTATGCGTCTTTGCAGCTTCGATATATTTGATCTATGAAAAGTGAAATGGTTGGTTAGGAAAAAAAGATGCTTTTAAAGTCCGACTTTTAACTTACCGTAAAAGCTTTAATAAGCCCCTCTTCCTTTCAAACCCCCCTCTCTTTTAAGATCCTCTCTCTGTTAGGCCCCTTTATCAGGCAAAATTTAAAAAAGCCCCTTCTCTATTAAGCCCCCTCCCTTTTAAGCCGCCAATGTCAATCAAATAAAACATTGGATTGAGTGGATCTCTTGACGATAAGATTGTATGCATGACGATACGGCCCATGTAAATATTTACTTGTGCGCCTTGGAAGTCAGTCGAAATTGGTGTAGGAGATGATCCAGGGGATATCAATTGATCCTAGTGACTCTGAGGCAGATGAGGGAATTATAATTGATTGAATTTAAGAACCTTTCGAAGCTGCTAGCAAAGTTTTTGAGTTGTATGAAATATCACAACAAAAAATGCACGAGGGCATATAGATATCATTTTTTACATTAGATCAGCCACCTCTTTCTAATAAGCCCCCCTCACTTTTCAGCCCCCCTCTAGGACTGAAAAAGTAAATAAGCCCCCCCCAGGGGGACCTTATAGCCCCTATGGTTAATTTGATAAATATTATTTCATTTTGAGATATTGCATTTTGCACTTTTACTCTGGAATTAAACTAGAGTGCAACTATAATGAAAATTGAAGCTTCGATTTTCATGCTTGCGAGTAAACTAGAACGGAATTAGTTTAAAATATTTGAATCCATTTTTTTATTTTTAGATATTTGAATAAAACTGTGGAGAATCAGTTTTTACACGTAGTGCTTCCTCGCCTTACACAATTCAGAATGTAAGTGTTAGATGAATTGTCAAGGAAATAGGCAGTTGTAGAATGGGGTCAGCCACAAAAAGCCAGATATGACGTTGTATAAAGCGAAATAGCCACGTAAAAAAGCCATAGCTTTTCCAAACGCTTTTGCAAAATGGGGGTGTTTTCCTAAATTCTTAAGGGCGTGGTCAGCAAACATTTTCTCCTCTTTGCCCCTCCAATCTTCCAAACCTGGCTACGCCTCTGCTTCTTATCGTCTTTACCTTAAAATCAAAAACGGAATTTAAAAATGGGCGTTTCCATAATTTACCAGTGACCTGAAGGGTGTGGCACCAAAATTAGTGTCTAACACTCCTCCAATCATTGTTGCTTAGATCTGCCCCTGGATATTTGACCAACATGCTGAAAAGTGATCGTGTAACATACTAAAATTGTCCATTTTTGCTGCAGAATTCAATGCGCTTATCTGCTGTTAATCCTCTATCATTGGAAATTTTACTCTGAACGAAAGCAGAGTAAAATCGAGTTCATCACTTTTTTTCAAAGGCGCCGACAAATTCTTACGTCACATAATGTTTTGATGAGAAGGGAACGGCCTAGAGTTTCGAGAAATGAAGAAAAAGACGTGAATTGTGCTCAGTAACATAATTATTAGCAGAAAACAAATATGAATAATGATTTGGAGTGAATCGAAAAGGAGCCCATTACAAAAAAAATAAATGCAATTTAATAAAACTACACTGTGGCCTCTCCCCCACTTGTTTCGTTTCTGTCTGTCCCATCAAGGCTCACTTCCTGGTTTTCCTTCCATAATGTAACAGTAGGGACAGTGAAAGATGTTGTTGAAGACTTAAGAAAGGTCCTTAGAAAGGTGTGCAACCAACCAATTATAGATGACCTTTCCCCAAAGCAGGCACCGTGCACCAGTCTAAAAGCGGATGGGCTGAAAATTAATGAAGCCACACCTTTTAGATCGCTGGAAAAAGCCCCTTTCTATTTATAAACAGTCCGATTCAGATAAGATATGAATTACTAAAGATATAGAGTTAACAAGATTAGATATTGAAAAATTGGAACAAAAAATGGTTCTCAGTCTAGAAGAACTGCTACTTCTTAAGATTAGTTAGAGTAATCTTTTTTAAAATTATTATTGCAAAAAAGTAGAGGGGGGGGGTATAGCTTCTGCTAGCCCAATGGCTGATCTGTGCCTGCCCAGTGGCTGGTCTCTGGAGTGGGACACACTGAGTTCGGAAGTACTCCCCTTCTTATTGCCACACCTACTAAAGTCCGAATTACCAAGCAGCAGGGGTAGTATATGAGGGGGGGGGAGGGAAGTTGGGGTATTCTTTTGGAAACTTTTGCCCTAAGGTGGGTAAATAAGCGTCTGTTTTTCTTTTTAGATTAATTTTAATTTCCTATTATTTTCTACTTATATTTGGTCAATACCCTGGTGTTTCCGGTAGCGACGTATGGCTGCGAATGCTGGGTCATGAAGAAATCGGGCAAAAATCGGCTAATTTCTTTCGAGATTTGGTGTTACAGACGTTTCATGCGAATCAGTTGGAGAGCGAGAAAAACAAACGAATGGGTCCTGCAGAAAATTGGTAAAGCTACCCTTCTCAACAGCATCAACAGAAGGAAGTTGTCGTTTATTGGACATGTCGCAAGAAGCGAAGGCTTAGGAAATGACATTCTCTCTGGAATGGTCAGTGGCAAGCGAAGGAGAGGAAGACCACAGCGAAAACTTGAAAATGATGTTGAAGAGGTCTTGGGAATGTCAATGTTTGGTCTTCTACGAAGCGCAAGAAACAGAGACACCTGGCGTACGACCATTGCGCGTGCCACGGCGGGTCAGCACTGACCCATCTGTTCCTGATAATGATGATAATTTGGTCAGAAAGTCAAGCAATGCTATATCAATGTTCAAAAGGTGCATTACATTCTTTTGTTAATAGAGTGTGGCAATTGCAATTGAAATGAGGATAAGACTAAAGCAGTCGCCAAAATTCTTTTTCAGAAGACGATAACGATTTCAAAAAACCAACATTTGCTTATAAAATACTGACTATTTTGCCCATCTTAAGAACGAGGATGTTAAACTTATTTCATGCCTAATTGTTAAAAAATACGCTGAGGTAAGCAATTGTTTTATTCTTGTGATTATTATTTCCATTTCACACTCTCAATCATTCTGCAACCATGGAGTATCGAGGAATTGAGGCTAAGCGGACAATCAAAGTCTTAAAGCCAGTCTGTTTATAATTGCAATGATTTTCGTTCAACCAAGTATTTCAAATAACGACAAAGCCATTTAACAACCACTTGCATGGAGAATTTTGTCAATATTATGCCAATCTTTTGACTCCGAAATCCCAGCTGCATGGCTGGAACAGATTCATGCTAACATTTCCCTTTGCATCCCCCCATTCCTCACAAATTGTCAAAAGATTATGGTTGTAGAAAAATTCTACTATTTGCCCTCAGCACCAACACTTTCCCCCCTGCTTCTTGTGCAGGCGCCTCTGCTTGTTAACGTACAAATTTATTTGAAGTCATAAAAAGAAAAGAACAAATACTTGAATGAAACAGAAAAGCCTAAATATGATATTGCAATGTTACCTTCTAGAGTAACCTTTTTCCAGATCTTGAATCCAGTTCTGTTTTTCGGTATCTCATCTTCATTTGATATTTGAGTGTATTTATTTGTATTTGTATCCAGTGATAAATATTTGCAGCTTTCCGCTAGACTGCATTTATGAAAGTTCTTGTTGAAAACTGTTGTATCCGAGTTGTGATGAGAACCTTCATCCTGAACATCTCCAAGCTCGATGAAGTAAGAACCTTTTGATACAAGGTTGCTGCGTATAACAGATAACTGAAAAACTGAAAAAATGGCAAAGAACATTGATGCATTCACCATGGTGGCTTTTCGGTACTCCACTAGCCCTTGTCTGCAGTAAAACAGCTCCGCGATTTTTATCAACCAAACGTCAGTGAATGATAGAACCAAGTTTGTTGATTATTCGTTGTGCGTATGATAAAAGCTTTCTTTTGTTTGTCTGCATAGAAACTAGGTTAGCAATAAAAAACACAGTATCAATGTATGCACCTGTAAGTATAATGCTATAAATATAATTCTAAGTGGGGCTTCTTCTACCGAAAGATTTAGACTAGTTAATCTAATTAATATAAGGAGATTGTACGCAAATCTCATGAGTCAACCTAATAACATGTATTTTTCCTCACATGGTAGTTAGGGCACGCCGGAGTGACAAGCCTTTTCCTTCTTTGCCACTCACTGTGAATATGAAACTCAAGCTTGGGAGCGCATCATTGTAATCAATCCCTCCCTAGCCAGACCTTAAATGATCTTCTCCACCTTCACTTTGCTGTTTAAATCGTCACCTCATTGAAATTGCGCATGTAGGTAGTGTAGTATTGGAATGATTTGTCTTTGTGCTAAACATCATTTGGAGACGCTCACCTTTTTATTTTGGGATTTCAGGGGCGGATCCAGAGCAAATTTGAAGGAGGGGCAATTGGTAGTTGGGATGGTGAAAAATTTTCAAAAATTAATCACGAGAGTACGCTGTGTACAAAAATTTCAGATACCTTTTCAGAATAAACAACAAAAAACTTTGAGGTAATCCTTGAAGCAAATTAATCTATCAGTCCAAGAACTTTTTTTATCTGATTCTCATTCTTCAAAAGGGGCGCACAATTTCCAAAAAGAGGCACCAGACTTGCTTCAACTCGGAAGATCGGTGTAAAAATCTTTTTTGCTGTGATACGCAATTTGAAAGTGAAACCATAGATCATTGATCAAATGTGGGTGTCACTTGATAGTCACATGTTACCTGCTCAATGTCCTGTTACCTGATTGTCCCCTGTGCTTACAATACCAGCTACTCATTTGTCTCGATTAAATTTGAAGGAAGTGAAGTTTGTTCTGACTATAAATCGATACTTTAAAACGAGTTAAGACAGAAAGCTATAGAATATTTGCATGCAACAAATTTTTGAAGGAAGTTGGCTGCTTTTATTTGAAAATCGAACTTGAGCTGTGGGTCACACGTCAGCCTTGGCTGGACACGAGGCAGAAGTAGGCCTAGCCCACCTCCACAGAAACAAGTCGTCTGGAATTAATGAAATTGGACACATTGTCTTAGAGGAAGTATTGATTTAAAAAGAGTCCGGTAAGTCAAGACAGCTGAAGACTGCAAGCACACTGTTCCAAAGAAATCAGACGTGACGAACTAGAGATGCCTCTGACGGAATCATCAGAGATCAAATTCTCCTTGTTTTTCTTATTGGCATTCTCCTGTTGCGTTTCAAATTCTCTTCGATGCCCTAAGAGATCATCCAGTGAAAAAGATATCTACAAAGTCAATGAAAGACTGAACAAGATCACTAGTGATTTAAGGTCTTTAGCTTCTTGTTAGAAATTTTAAAGCAATCTACGTAAGAAGATTAAAAAGTCTCTATTATGGGGGCAGCACGTCTTATAAACTCAATCAAAGAAAACAATTTTGTAAAACGTTTGGACTTCCATCTTCATCGGGAATTTTTATTACTGATAAGGATGGATTCGAAAGATTTTACAGAAGTGTTTCCTTTGGTGAATATATATAAAAGATTCTCAAGAGAAACAAGTTTAGATAAATTTTTTGGCTTTTGCCTTCATTAAACATTTTGACTTTCGTCAACATTATTTATATCAGTATATATGTTTATTTGGAGATAGCACAGAAACACAGAAACAAAACGTACTGAAATGTTTTCATGCTCAAAGTATAAATGAGGGATGTTGGCCAAAAGGAAAGCAGAAAATTTATACCAGGATGTGGATCCAAACAGCCTGTGATCCAAAGTAATATGAATGGAAGAATGATTTGTTTGTTTGGTTCCTTGTTTTGAACGATCTACAGTCACTAGCTGCTGACCTATTAAGAGTGAATCAACTCATTCTGTCTACACAATTCATCATCATTTGTTTTTTTTAGAAAGATTCGAAAACACATAAATGAAAAGACTGATGAATTTTAAATTGTTTTCAATGTCACTATATGTTTTGGCATATTCCTGATTCATGAATAAATATTGACTGGCTGAGGTGTGTCAGCAAAAATGGTTTAAATATGTTATGCATCTGTTTTTCATGCTATCTTCAAACCTTGCAGTACTAAGGGCTTATTAAAATATATGCATAGTTGGAAAATGTGGCAATTGCATGAATGAGGTCAATTTTGTGCTGTACTCTAGAATCAAAATTTGCACTCTGTATTAAACTTTAAAGTAATGTAAAAATGCTGCAGACTGGTGTTGAATCCCCTTGTGTGGTTGATGTCTCTAGGTTAAGTCAATCTTGTTTTAAATTTAAGTTAATTTAAGAGAAACTTGGATAATTTTGTTGCATGAAAAATTTTTGTTCAGTGTATAAAGATCAGTTGGTATGAATATAAGGTAACAACCTGACCATCATCACAGACCAAACAAATATAACTTTTTCATTTCAAAATTGAACATACTGAATAAGAGTTGTAAACTGTTTTGTGTTGATTTTTCCATGGCAATAGACTTCATCTTGATTTAATGTCAAGAGCAAGGTTGCTATTTGGCCGTTTTGATGGCCAAATTCTTCCATTCTGGCCGTATTTCAAAGCTGTTGGCTGTTTAAAATTGGCTTGGCCGCAGTAAAAGATGCAAAGTAAAAGATAGCAGAAAATTGAAATCGAAAGCAAGTGGGAGCTTTTGTAACAAATAAAGACACATTTTTGATTACACTATTACACCACAGAATTAGCAAAAATGAAGCTTTTTTGTATATTTTGTTTGGCTGGCCGAATTTGGCTGTTAACCGTAAGATATTTTGAGCCGACCATTCCAAGCATCTGGCAACCCTGGTCAAGAGCTTTTGTAGGCACTTTAGCAAAGATATATGATGATGACCTCAACTGTTTATATTTTCTTCCTAGTGATAAGAATTTTGTGTCAGAAGATCATAAACACACAAGAGAAGGATCAAGTGATACTGATGTTTATGACTATACATTGCAGTTATGCACAACAGATGATAAGTATGGTGCAGTGTACCAAATAGATAAAACTCAAAACAAGAAGACCTTGCTTGGAATGAGTAATGCATCCTTTGCCCTCGGAGGAAGTGAGTTTTAATGTATTCTTTATTAGAGCACTGAAAGCATGTTAAAGATTCTTGCTAATTGTTACAATGTCGTGATTTTACCAGTTACTAAGTATATTAGTGACATTAAAATTATATACAGTTTTCTTTTATGTATATATATGTATTTCAGTTGCTTAGTGTAATGTTAAGGATTGACTGATCAAGTGGTCTTTAGAATTGACTTCTGATTAGCAGAAAAACCAATACTATTTAATTTCTAATGAATCATCAAAATGTCTTTTTTAATTTAGGGTTTTCTTTATTGATCTTGGCCAATTTTTACAGGGGAATGCAGAACATGTTATAATAATATGCCACTGACATGTGCTCCAATATTTTTATGAATATTGATTTGGACCAAAATGATAAAAATATAAGAGATATTGTTCATTTCCTGACATGACAACAAATGATTCATTTGCTGAAATCATGAACCATAACTGCAGGCTTCATCTTTTTTGTTTCAACAATTTGTTGCAATAAGTTGAAAAAAATCTTTGTCCACTTCATGATTCTTTCAATTTCATTTTTAGCCAATCTTATATTAATCGTTTTCAAAGATGGAAAACAATACAATAGTTTCTGTGATAAGCAAAAGAGAGAGGCATGGCTACAAATTGTTTGTGATAAATCTGGCAAAGTAAGTTTTAAAGTGTTTAAGCAATTTTCAAGACTGATTTGCAAGATAAATCATGGTACTAGGTTAATGTTTCAATCATGACATAGTAACCTAGATTGCTAATTGATTCATAATGGAAAATATTTGCTTATTATACCTTGACATACATATTACTAGAGAAATGCATTACCTTTTTGCAATAATTCTAATCAATGGTAACAATTTTCAATTTAGAAGCGTGACCAAAACCCCTTTTGTACAGCAAAATTTGAAGATAGCACGATAGAGCAGAAACATATAATAGTAAAGTACTTTTTGTCTGACACCCCACAGAGTATAAATGTTGAATAATGTTAAAAGATAATCTAAAAGTTAATATATCGATGCAGATTGAAACTAATGTGAGAAAAAGCATGGTTGATTGGTTTTTGTTTTTAGCCAAATTTGGCTGCTGAAGAAATGCAAAAAACGCTTTCATGTTATACTAAAGGCGGAGCCAAAACTTGCAAAGAGAATTTTCAAATCATTTTAAACCATTTAAACTCATTTAATGCTTGTTGCTCATTCACATTTTAGAAGCCCCAATTTAAAGTTATTGAGGAAAGTCGTTGGAAGAATGGGTCACCAAAGAAAGGATGCTATTATTTGTTTGAATTAAATCACAAGGATGCTTGTTCTCCAGAGGAAAGCAAAGGATTAGGCGGAGGAGCTATATTTATGATAGTGTAAGTACCTTTGTGATAGATGTTATTTTTTTAGATTTTAATTATACCACTCCTTTGTCAGGATTTACGAACTATGTGTACCTGTGGTTTTCTTTGGTATGTTGAAGTTCATAAATTGTTAAAAAAGCAACTAGCTAGATTTTTCCTTCTTAGTTCAATATAACAGAATTGTAATGAACAGTTTTTTTATTGAGTTGCTTTTTGCTTAAACCTTGCTTTGTTTACGCTCAAACCTTGCTTTTTGTTTAGTAGACTGAAAGCTTACACTAAAAGAAATTTGCAGGTTTTAAGGGAAAATACAGTAGTTTGATTGGCGTATTGAACTAGTGGTTGCAATTCTAAGAACGAACAGCTTTTAAGCAAGGGTATTCCTCACAACATGTATTTTTTTAAACTTCTAAAACACGATACCACAATTAAATTGTTAAATTTATTGAGTTTGATTTATTATTATATTGCATATGATGTATTTTTCAAATCCTAACTTCTAAACAGTCAGATTTATCGGGTTAATTTTGCATCAAAAATATGGGCTATGAGTTGAGAGCATGAAGAAATTTTTTTGTTCATTCCTGTTTAAACTGTTTAACTGAATAATTGAATTATAAAAGTCCATCATGTTAAGCTAGCTTAAAGCTGTTATTCAGCATATAAATGCCTTTAACAGAGTCGTCTAATATTCCAATTTAGAAATCGAAGAGCATAAATTTTCTTTCTCAAAGTTTCTCAAAGTCTTGAAGAACACAACTCTTGAAGTATCTTATGTCTGTTAAAATTTAAAGAAAATGGTGTAAAGCTAATCTTATCCACATAGGGTTTTAAGCAAGGATGTCAATGGAACTGAGACATTTTACACAGTAGAATTTTTTCTTCAATTCAAAACTTCTTGTGCTGTCACTAGGGTATTGAATTGAATAACAAAAAATGGTGAAACCTCGCTTTGGGTAGGAATTATCTATATTATATAACACACCACGTTTACCTTGACATCACAATTAGGCTTTGTGCAGAGGAAATTTTTATATAAAGCCACCTAGGCCTTACATAAACAACCCTCCAAGCATTAGTTGCAGAATAAACTTGGGTGCTTTTATGGTCATTTTTTGATATCCACTGGTTCTCGTGTCGCAGTTGACCAAGTCTTGGTTTAGAATGTTTTGTTGTCACAGCTGCTTTATCAAGCTCCTTGTTTAGCAGAATCTAAACTGCAAGTAACGAGACTGCACTTGAGAAATCATTTACTTATATTTTATGAATTAAATTGCCCGTAGTCACCCCAGTCATCACGCTACCAAATTTAAATTAAGCAGTTTTAATGCGCCATGTTTTTCTGACCCCTGTTTATACGGCACCCTGTTGCATTTTTTGTTTCAAAATAATATTGAACTCAGATTTTCTAATAATGATGTTATTTTGTAGAATGGTCTCTTTATTTGCGGCATACCTTGGTTTTGGATTTTTGTATCAGAGATTTGTGAGAGGTGCCAAAGGTGTAGAACAGATGCCTAATTACACCTTCTGGAGGGCATTCGGAAACTTAACAGCTGTAAGTCATTCGTTTTACACTGTCTATATTTTACCAAATTTGTTCGTCCACCAAATTTTTTTGTATCGATGTAATTGTTATTGATTTTCGTACTGTGATATTACAAAAAGTACAAAGTGATGAAAACATACTGCATTGTCTATTGTATACTTTTCTTCCTCTCAACTCTAGGTATGAAATATTTGATAATGTCTGAAAAGTGAACAGCAATGCGAGGATAAAGTCAAACGCATTCATGTTACTTTTGATCTCCACAAATTCCTTTCACCTTTCAGACTGTGACTAAAATTTTGTTATGTCACGTTCCTGTGTAACAGGCCCGGTGAAAACCATTTTCACTGAAAGATTTCCTGACTGGGGAGTCCTCTTGCAAATTATTGCATGACCTGAGTGTTTGTCCATTTCCCGACACCCCCCTGCAAGCTGAGACTTTCTTGCCCCCAGATAATCTTAAGTTATTTGAAAATTTGTCCCTGCCTAAAGGTGAAGAAAGGTCTCTTTAACAGTTCTCTTTGAGATCGCTTTATTCTGCTACATTTTATGACATCTACCCATTCCCTGCCAGTCGAGTGCAATTTTTGCTGTCCTCTGCCATATGTATCTGCTATTCCCCGTGATAAAAGAAACTCGCCCAGAATGTTACACAGAAGTGTAAATATTCGGTCGGGTACAAGCATAACGTATATTGCCATACTATAAAATTTCATTATGTTGTATTGTAAGTAAATAAATCATAGTTCTATTTTAAAGAGTAAATTACCTAAATACTAGATTGGATAGTTGTAAGGATGATTGTAGGGCAGAATAAAGCCAAGTGGTTAAGGGCCTTGAGGATTTAATGTATGGGTAAGGTTGATCCTAGTAATGATATAGTCGACTATGTAGTTGATAGGTTTAGACAAAGCTATCTTTGAAGTTTTTAATGCTTTTTCACATTGAAGTAGATTTTCGGTATAAGAGAAGGTCGAGATTATGAAAGCAAAAAATGTAGAAAAGAGAAAATGAAGAAAAATGAAGGAAAAACAGAAAGATGATAGATGCAATTAAAAGGAAGGGAAGAATCAATCGAGAAGGAACGAATTGAGATAATCAAGGAAAAGAAACGTTTTTTCATTGACCCAAGCATAAATAAGTAAATATTGCTAACTATTTCATCATCTTAATGTGAAGTAAACGTTTATTTGTGTCCTCTTGAAGGATGGTTGCGACTTTGTGTGCAGACGACCTGACCACCCTGCAAGTCATTACAAGGTAAGATTTCGTGGATGTATTTCTATTTCCATCTCAATGCAAGATTAAAGGTGGACGGGGGGTAAAAAGTCATAACGCTTGCATGAATAATTTCTTCTTAGTAACGTTAGGTTATTGAAAAGTAAACTTGATTGTAATAGGGATGGCGTTTTAAGAGACCCGGCACGCAAAAGATAGCAGACAGAACACTGACAAATTTACTTTTTGTGGGGGTTGGAGACAAACCTTGCTGCTTATTAAATTTTTGCTCGGTATTGTTCTAGCTATTCATGTGAGGTGTTTCAAATTTTTAGTACGAGGCCATTTGTACCTGCCTAAGCCTTGATATCGTTTTATCCCAAGCGTTTACAGGCATCATCGAAAAGCATACAATAAAATCCTTGGGTTCTAGCTGAAATATGTGCTTCTAACGCAAAGATGCAAAGTGTGTTAGCAAGTCCAATGTCAATCCGAAAAATTATGTTTCTGGCAAATTATAAATATTGAACAAACATTGCTGAGAGGAGAGGAGCACTTAAACGATCCCATTAAAGATTGTCACGAGGGTTTTAAACCGGGGTTGAAGCGTGAAAACTATTCATCGTCAAGCTGGATAAACATTATAAATACGTGTAGAAGAACATTATGTTAATTTAAGCAACACAAATAAACGAACAAAGCTTTATGAAATACTTTTTCTTCCAGAAAGCGGTCCTAGTATTGAAATGTTTTTGCTGAACCTGTCTGAGGGGGGGGGGGGGCTACTGTGAGTATACGAGGCTTCCTATGAGTATACGAGGTTTAGACTAAATGTATTGTTGCTAAATGTAAAACCATTTATTGCACTTGGTCTTTTACAGGGCATGGCAGACGCATTAGATATCGATACAAGTGATGACGAAAAAGACGATCATTTGCTTCCAATGTGACGCACCTCAATTGCGATGCAGCTCCTTAGATAAGAATCAGCTCCTTGATGTATCGCAAATATTTTTCTAATTGGGAAAAGCGATTCTCTGATTCCCAACAGAAAAGAAAGGACACGTTGCAAAGATTTGTTGATTTTTTTTGTCTTAATTTTCATTAATGATATATGCTTTTGGTGGATTATGTAAAGTACTTTTCGATGTGGCTGCAAATATTTTTAGAATCCACAATCAAGAAGTAATAGAATGATTAAGCCTCCCTTGATCTTCAAAATGCCCATGAATGCAAACGTTTGCTCAGTCAATTATATTCAACTATCTTTTGATACGTGTGCTTCGTTTATCGATTGTTTTGAATAAAATGGATAAAATGTAAGTGAAATGAAGAACTCTCAACCGCTAGAATGTTGCGCGATTGAGATGTATGCCTGATTTCGAATTTGAATTTTAAATTGTTAGAGCTGTTCAGGGCCTAGTAAAAAGACACTGTTTTGTCAATGCGATGCCAAAACACATAGAAAATCCGCCAAAGTTCTGCTGGTTTATTCATCAGATATATTGTTTCTATGCCATAGACTAGGTTAAATGAATTTTGTATAAATGAGACCTTTCTGTGTTGAAATATGGCAAGATTTCTGTTTTTCACCAGTTAAAGTCTTATACACACACATAGCTGTAAAATTACATGACTGAAATATGATGTCGATGAGAATTACGTGTTAACATTTTGGTACCAACTGTTTTCTCATTAAAAGATACACTTTGCAAGTAGTACACTAAAAAGGATTCATTTATGTCTCTGTCTCTCAATTTGTTCCAATTCTTGTATTTTGGATCGTTCTTAGTAAACTGCAGGCAGGGTGTGAGAGACTGCGAATGTGCTGCGTGGATGTCTGAAAGTTCAATGCGATACCTTTGCAATGCAAAGGTATCGCTGTGGATGAACTGAAGGAACCTTTCCAGGAAAAAGGAAGAAAATACTAAGTGGTACGGGTCCTTAAGGGAAAGAAAAACCTTCATCAAAAGAAAAACAAACTGGTAAATCCGATTTCAGATAAACCCGAGAAGGACAACTGGTTAAAGATTAAGCAAAAATATTTTGGATTGGTAGGATAGTAAAGACGTTACAATCCTCTATTATTTTTGATTGAAACTTTCTAATGTTAAAATTTATATAATTACTGAAAGCACACTGCAACATTTCCAGATTTGTTTTTCTAACTAGCAGGAAAATATTGTGTACAAACATACATATTTTGTTTTTATATAAACTATACATATAAGAAGTATGTCTGCTGATTCTTCCGTGGTACAGTGCTCAATACGTTTGCAGGTAGAGCCTGATATTTCGGAGCTGAAGAAAATCAAACTACGGGTTTTATCTATACAAGCCTGATTCGTTAATAACTAACTCTTCTGGAGATCCTACAAGAGACAATGTTGCTGCAATCCAATTTTTGTTTATTGAACTAAATTCACTTCGTTTTGTGTATGAAAAAATTGTTTCCTCCATAATCATCTTCTTAATATTAACTTCTAAATCACAACTTCCAAAAAGTCGAAGATTACAGAGCCAAAAAGTAGAAGAAGATTATCTGAACCACGGGGCCTAAGTTGAGGCTTTTTATCACAAAAAGTCCCTTTACAACAAGACTGATTCTGTAGGCTTGAAATTATAAATTTCCTTTATTTTTTTGATATTTTTAAGGGTTTACAGCTGTAAGGATTCTGCCCTTTCAGGTTGGATTTTTTAAAATGCATTTACTTTAGTTTTTGGTCTGAAAATTTGGGTTGGAAATTTTTGCTGGCGGAAGGCGAATGGAATTTTTGCCGGATTGACTTCATTTAGGCCTCTTCAAACCGATCTTCAATTTCCAAAAATTAGCCAAAAATTATCACGCGAAAACATTTGCTTTTGTGAGAAAATTAAGATGAACTGAAGGACATGACAAAATTGCCTTCTGTTACTCACGATTTGCTTTTCAATCGAGTATTGCACCCGCTCTATTTGCACGAGAAATTCCATAGACAAAGCATTCCATAAAGAATGGAACACTGAACTCAACGTAAGCGAGAATGACCCAGTACCATCTAAAACGTCTAATTTTTCACCGCTTATATACCTTATATCGCGATTTATTTCTTAACAGCAAAATAAAGGAAAAATGGATTTCGCTCATGTTCGAAGGAAAAAAGTTGCTCGTAGGTTTTATTAAGTTATGTGAGTCAGCAAGAGAGTTTGTACTTTAACCAGTAAAACGAGCTAGATGCTGCTAAGAAATTACGACGGAAAGAAAATGAAATAGGAGGGGGTTACTTTTAGAAGAGCAAGGCATATGTTCCTTCCTGTTCCATACTTTGTTATAAAGGAAGCATCCATGGGCAATTATTGGGAGATGGCAATTCTCGTTACTTACGACCTTGATGTTGCAGGTATTTTTAGCGTTACATTTACCCAAAAGCAACAAAAACGTGTATTTGCTGCGTTTATTTTATTTAAATCAGTTGCAAGTAATTTTTTTATTAGAAACAAACACGACCCATTAGTACATTGTTGGCTAGAGGTAGCAATGGGATCTCGTGCAGATCGACGAAGAGAGAATATGTTCGTGTAACAGTAAAACTCGCGTGTTGTGTTACTGCTGAAAACTGCTCACACCACTAATCATATGATGCAATTAAGTAACAAGACTTCATTTAGTCGACTATTGTGTAAGAAAATTACTTACTGTCGACATCAAAAGATTAATATCCGGATAAGGTTGTTAAGATTTGTGTTCTTGATGAACAAAATTGGACGTTTATACCTGTAGCACTGAAAATATTGTCCGTCACCTTTCTGAAGGCAACAGAACCTTTATGGAGGAAAAGAAACCTTTCTGAAGGCAACAGAACCTTTTTGGAGGAAAAAGAACCTTTCTGAAGGCAACAGAACCTTTTTGGAGGAAAAAGAACCTTTCTGGAGGGGAAAGAAACCTTTCTGTAGAGACAAAAAGAATCTTTCTGGAGGTAGGGATCGACTTTTTTGAAGTTGTCAACTTGTTTATTGAATTTTTTCTCTACCTACACTTTTTTCCATTGTACAAATTTTCCCGTTAATTGGTATTCTATGTAATTTGTTGCCATGCTTCTAGGAGAAACTCTGGAGCTTTCAACACCATTAGCACCATCTTCTGGAATTCCATCTGGATCTGATAAATCTGCATTCTAAATTTGATAAACTGCCCTCTTGTTCCCCTTCAACGCACCCTCATTAATCAGGGTTCCTTATACACATGCAGGGCAGGCAGAAGACGACATTTGGCCACTAGGCCTCGCTGTAAAGCTTTAAAAGAATGCCCTAATGACGAGGAAGTGAACCAGTTCATGTATCTGATGTGATCCAAAGTTCAAAACTCAAGCAAGAGGCACACCTCGTGAATAGCAGAAAAGTGGAGGGCATGTGTCACTGGTACTTGCCATAGACCCATTTCCAAATTTTCCAAACTTTGCAGATTTTCCTCTTGAAAGCCTATCAATTTACCTCAAACAAAATTTTCCCCATCCCCCGTTGCTTCGCCACTTCCCTCCTCAAATGCCCATTCCCTTCTTGAAAATTTTTCTAACCGAAACGAGGCTTTAGTGCAGCGACTTCGAAAGCGATAAACAAGAGATGGGGAGAGGAAGAACTTGATTGCGTATTTGCGAATTTTTATAAGAAGATATTTTTCTGTTTTTATGAATGGAGCTGGATAAAGACCAGAAGATTATTTATGGATTATTATCAGAAGAAAGACTGGAAGCATTCTTCCCTTCATTCAGGTCCCAACTCCATGTTTATAAGGTTGAAGATCTCTTGCATGTCACCAGGAACGATTTGTTCAGGATTGGAGTATTATCTGGGCCGGACATTCGTAGGTTTGAGAAAGTTATCGGAAAAGTGACAAAGAATGCAGGTTTAAAGGGAATTTTTACGAAAGTAAGTACATGTTTGAGTATCTCCCGTAAAAGCATCAACGTAAACCCATTTGATTAAAAATTCAGCATGATTGTGGGGTTCAATTACAAAGAAAATCGTCTAGACAATAAGGCAAACTTTGATTTAACAATTGAGCACTCAAGTCTTTTATTCCAACCGTTGCCGTTTTGCAATCTTTTACAGTCTGTTTTTGTTGTTATTATTGTTGTTTCCCTTCTGATATTAATTTACTTCTTTTCTTTTTTAATATGAAAGATTCCGGTTTTACCTAATTACGAGTGGGAAATCATCTCATTGTCACTGTTATATAAGAAAACATTGCTCTGTGGTCAATGTTCATAGACAGTGATTGTGTTGAACGCGCCACAGTTTTGATTTCCTTCCTCTTGGTGTCGTTTATCCTCTTTCCATTGCAACTTCCGTGTTATTTATGCAGGTCGAATCCTGCTAAATTTTCCTCAGTTTATTTTGTGTGAGTCTGTATCAACATTTATTTTAAGTGCAATGCCCTGAAGGAAGCAGGGAGGTTTGGATGGACAGCAGGGGGGCTTTTAAACAGTATTAACAGATTAGCAGACTTTTGTAATAAAGGCAGTGCTGTACACACTTTGGAGATGGAAGCATATTTAGTGCATAATATGTTATCATAATTCTCATATGACTGTCTAAAGTGCTCAACTTATAAGAGTGATAAGTTAGACTAAAATAAACACTTTATTGTAACACAACTTTGAGTTTCATGTCTAAAAAATCATCAGGTGTATAAAAGAAGGCAAACTAAAGGCAAGCAAGATATAACTGTAAAAAGGAATAATAATATTTATGTGAATATAAAAGTAAGAATAACATTAAAGCAAAAATTATTTTAAAAAAAATGAGCATGGTGCCTAAGCAGATATTTATGCAAAAATTATCAGGTTCTCACATAAGAGTATTGTGTGTCACGTCTGGGGCCAATTCCTTGTCAGATTTTCGGAAAATGTCCCTTGCATATGCCCTCTTGTGCAAATAGACCTAGCCCAGCTAACTAATCTAAACATGAATATGCAATCTGAATCTATTTTTTTGCTGCAATCAAGTTTGATATAATTTTAATGAAATTCTTTAGAAGGGCAGGTATTTGAGAAGGAACAAGACTGCTCAATTTATTTGGCTCATATAGGCATTAAATTTTAATGATGTTATTGTATGCATTTCTTGCCAAGGTCTTACCAAAAAAGCAAAAACAAGGCATTGAAATTCCTGCAACTGTTAGCTTGTGGGAACAGTTTGAGCCAGTTATCATAAAAACAGAGGATCTTAAGCTGCAAGAGGTGTTAGGGTCAGGAAACTTTGGAGAGGTGTATAAAGGGCAATGGATGAGGCATATTGGCGGACAGGAAAATACTGTGAGTTGTTTATATATTTTGTTAAAAGTGGTATACTTCATATGATATGGTATACTGAAGATACATGGAATGCTTCTTAATGATACAAAACTATAAAAAGTAATATTTTTTTTGAAACTCATGTCATTTTCATGATTCAGTCAATTTAAGAGATTCATTGGAGCACCATAAACTCGGGTAGACATGTTTGACATAGCATGCAAGGCCCTTGCTCTTTGTGTGCTAGATATTCACTACTGGAAAAGATGTAGGTGTCTCAAACTAGGGACCATTTTGGCTGAAAGCCTGTGTTCTAACCACTAAACAACCACACCTGTTCCATTACAAGATAACTCAATTCCTGGTAAATAACAATCAGTTGAAGACAAAGCACACTGTACTGTAAATTGAATGGAGCATGGTTAGCTTAGTAGTTGGGTTGGAATTTGAAACCAGATATTGTAATAAGAAACAATACAGCACAACTGTAAAATGTAATGTGAAACCTTTTTGTTATCCAATCAATAACAGACAATACAGGTCTCCTGAGAAAAGCCTTACACTTGCACACACTTTGCCCTACCCTAAATGTTAGGAATGCTAACTTCATCACTTACTCTCTACATTGAGGCTTGCTGTGAAGAACACTTCTTTCTACCTTCTGATTAGAGGCTAGATGTATTATTTTTGGCTCTTCCAGCTTGCTCTTGACAGTAATGAATAAATTTTACATTTGCCTTACCAGTATACAGGTTAATTCATCAGTTTTTTGGAGTGCCTTTTCAACTTGTTAATTAAGCAGCAAGCATGCAACAAGATGGATTCCAAGGACCAAGCTACAGGAGTTGAGGAATACTTTACTACAATAGAGAAAATAAAACCAAAGACTTTAGGAACTTAGAGAAAGTTTTCCTCACACACCCTATTCGACAACCTTCAATGGAAGTTGGTGGAAATGAGAAGTGACATGCCTCTCTGATATCTCTAATCAAAGGCCCAATGAGGAAAAGGGTGTGCAGCTATAAAGCCATTCAGTTGACGAAACAAACAGGAGTCAGTTTCCCAACATTTGTCACAGCAATCATCTTGCTATACTTTATTTTAGAGATTAGTTCTCTGATATGCAAAAATTGACTGTAGAATTGAGTGCAGGTGTACCGATATACCTTATCTTTTATCTTTGATGGACGTATGTAACTTTTCAGCGAATTGGGCAGAGAGATTTTTTGACCTTACCTACTGCAATGCAGATTTCAAGCTTTCACATACTATGCAGCCAGAACATGAGCTGGACTGAGTAAAATGACATTTTGTTGAGACCTGTCCTTGGGACCTGTCAAATGCATATTCTCTGTTCAGAGCTTGCTTTAATGATTTTCAACGCCGTGATAACTGCCTAGCACAAGGTGTGTCCACCATAAACTCCAATCTTTGGGCTCATTTGCCCAAAGAACAAAAAGAGCAAGTCGAATGGCTGAAATACCCCCAATTTTTTTCTTGCCAAGGGCTAAATAGAGGTCAAAGAGACCCTCCTGTAACTTAAAACACAGCTGGAAAAGTTCCAAATTTTATTGAAACAGTTTTCATTGGAAATGATAAATGATATGATTTGATCAGCTACAGGCATATCTTTATTATATAAATTATTCTGAGCTACAAGCCTGACACTCACTACTTTAAATATTTCTCCCAACTTTTTAAAGCTTATACCTTGCTTTCATTAAAACCACATATATCTTTGTTAACATTGTGTGTGGACTGAAAAAATGGCTTGAATTATGAGATTTTTTCAGATTCCAAATACTATGTAACTGGACTTTTGTAGAAATGGAAAAATAACAATAGTGCTCCATCACACTCCTACCACGGTCTAGGGGCACCAAATGCCACACTTGTGCTAATTTATTCGCAGGAAGGCCTGCAACAATTTTATGATTTTGAGCTAGATAAAGAAATTTTATAACAAAGTGTTGCTTGCTCTCCGTCAGCTGTGATATTTCAAATCATTTAGACATCTTCTGTCACTAATCTTTCGATACTTAGTAGCCCTGTTTTGCATTGGAGATAATATTTTAACATATGTTGGATTTTTACAGATACCAGTTGCTGTTAAATGTTTGAAGGAAGATTCTAACCAATCATTTATAAAAGAAGTCTCAATCCTTTCCCAACTTGACCAAAAGCATGGAAACATAATTAAACTTTATGGAATTTCTATACAAGCTGATGTTATCAAAATGGTATCAACCTTTCATTTATAATTGTACATATATTTTGCTTATATTGCTTTTTATAAATATTGCTCTCCAAATTGTGGTTTATTTGCTGTCAATTTTTTTCACTACATTTTATAACAAGCAGTAGTTTTCTAGCCATGGCAGAATGTTAGTAGCATGAAAAGTGGTTTCACAAAGGCGAACTTAGATTTAGCAAAAATTCTATACTATGCCCTGTTTACTAAAGCTAATTTTGATTGAATCCTTTTAAATTAAATGCCTATCTTTTATAATATGAAGTACTTTATTTTGTTATATACACTTTTGTAAAGAACAGGACAGCTGTAAAGCTATAGAGCTTAATTTTATAACAACAGTAAAAATACTCTCTCTGTAAGTTTTTGTATCTATATTTGTATATATCTTCTCTGTTGTCTGATTATTGCATCATGCACAAATTTTGAAGTTCCTGCTGTACATCTCTGCCACTTCAACATTGAGCTCTATGTGGCAGACAGGTAAACTATAATTTTTAATATTTTCATCTAATTTTAGGTTACAGAGTATGCAGAAGGAGGTTCACTACTGGAAAAGCTACAGACTGGCCAAATTTTGCTAATTTCATTGCTATGCCAATTTGCAGTTCAAATTGCATCTGGTATGATGTATTTGGAACAAAAGGGCCTAGTCCATCGTGACTTGGCAGCCAGGAACATTCTCGTAACAGCTCACAATCAGGTAGGATCACTGGTATATATTTTGATCAACATGCATAAAGTTTTTTTACAATGAAAATACTGGCCAAAGCATAGGGAGCTGTTTATCCAATAGCCATTGAGGTTTTTGTATTCTTCCCTTCTAAAAAGTAGCAAGCAGCTTCTTGGAATTAATTGAATGGTTATATACATTTTCCAGCAATGAGGACTGGTGCTTTTGGGGTTTCATGTATGGCTTGATTAACCTAATGCATATAATTTATCTTAAATCAAAGTTTATACAAAGGAACTGCAAAACAAATAATGATTTATGTGGTGCTAATTTGACTTTTTGGAAAGTTTGGTCTTGGTTATATGTTTTTCATTTCTGGTCTCTTGTTAGAAGCTCTCAAAGAGTATCTCTCTGCAACTTTTGTCTACAGGCAATCGATGTTTATTTTGGTGCATGTTTGCTTGCAAAAGTACTTTCACCAGCTTGCGCCTTAGTATAAAGCTCTTTCTTGCTCTCATCCCAATTATATGATGTAAAAGTAGATTTCTGTATGTGAATTTTGTACACGAATTTTGTATGTGAATTGTGAATTAATTTCTTTGATGTACACGATTGTACTGATTCTGAACGCTCTTGTTGTTTTTGATGAAAAATATGTTTTTGATGATTGGTAAACAATTCAACAACTCATCATTTATTTCTTTGTTGATAAATTGTTTCGTTATTTTGTCCTGTTATAACATATCATTCATCAATAATCCTACTCCTTTATACTGAAAGTACCCAGCAAAGCAAAGCTATTGTTTTTCAAAGCAAACAAAAGCAAAGATTAATCCACTCATTAGCCACTCTGTAAGGGCTGAGGTCTCTTGGGAGCAGGTTTGATAATCCAACTAATAAGGACAGTGTGATGATTTGCAAGATGATTTTATTGCTCGTCTGAAAACGTCTAGAGTATTTGACTTAAGGCACAATTAAGGCACAAAATCAGGGATTATAAGGAGACTATAGTTTTTTAGCGATCCTTAGACAGTCATTTCCTGTCAAGCTTTGCAACGATTATCCAAAACGATTATCCAAATTTGATCTTTTGATTATGTTTTTGTTTCTCCACAATCCTGTAGGTGAAAATAAGTGATTTTGGATTAGCGAAATTGGTTGGACAAGAGAATCAATGGGTAATGACTGCTCCTGAAGCTCTTCCCATAAGATGGTTTGTATTAATTTCTTTTCATGCGGTCTTTTCAAGATTTAATAACATAGCTGATTGCATTATAGAACAATAGTTTTTGTTTAGTCATAAACAGAAGTCATACAGCTCAAATTGTTCATTTTTTGTTATGTTTATCTAGCGGGGGCTTTATATAGTGAAAATAGAACGGCTTGTACGTAGGAATCTGGAGCACAGACTACTTGTACGTGACACTTGAAACTCGCAGTGTAGTATACTCATTTCAAAATGATGGATCTCCAAGTAACCCCCATTGTATTTATGTATGTTCAACATCTTTTCCCAAATATAATACCCCTTTTCCAGAACAGTGTTGATAATTAAGGAAAATATCTTATAAGTAACACGAAATATGTGCCTCCTAATCTCCTAAGTAATTTTATGGAGAACCACCATTGGCCCCTCCCAGGACGAGGGGCGATGCCTTTATCTGCTCTTGAAAACTGACGTTTATACAAGCAGGATGATGCCATTTGACCTATTGAACTTACATAGTACCTTCTGGCAATTTGTGTTATCTGACGTTGTTTTTCTCAAAATGGTTCGGCATGTTATTTTATAGCTCCAGAGGCAGATATTGTTAAGAACATAGGTACTTGCCTTTTAGAAAAAGTGCGATTTGTTGTTAATTTTTTGAAAATGAAATTTCTATTTTTTTAGTATTCTATTTTTTAGTATTTAGTTTTTAGTGACAAGTATTCGGTCATTGCGGTTAATTTTAACAAGCCCCGGTGAAATTTTTTGACCGTTGCCTGTTCATTCAATGAAATCGTACATCGAGATTAGTTAATTTGGGAAATTTTAAAGAAACCCACAAATTCTTCCTACAAGTTTTTATGAACTATTATTTAGACTATGCGCGCTTAAAAGTGCTGAAAGAACATGTTCGATTGTACGCAGTTGGTTTCGATTTGATGACGATTATTTTTACGCCTTTTAGGATGCTTCTAGTGCTAATTTTACCTTCTCTAGCAACCATTGCAATTTCTATGTTTAAAGGCGATTCTGAAAGTTGTCCTTTTTGGAAGTTGTAGCCTTTTAAAGGCAATCTGTCTCGTTGTGGATTGGTTAACGAGAACAATAGCTGGAACAATAGCCTAAACACGATTCCAGCGCTCCGCCATATTTTTTACAATGCGATAAATTAAAGGGGGACTGGAAACAATAAAAAATCCCTTTGTTTTTATAATCAATCAACGTCGTAACAGATTGCCTTTGATATTAGAAATTGATGTAGCCTATTTGTTATTCCTCTATAGAACCTTCCCGTCATGTCATTTTATATTTGACGAGATTCCAGTATTTTTGCGTGAATCGAAATGGTCTCCATCTTCTACGTGATTCTCTTCCATTCTAGAACATTTCAAAGCTTGTTTGAACTGTCATCATTCCATTTCTTTGTAGATTCACATTTGTCATGACACTCTTCGAGTAGGCCATGCTCGATAAAGAATTAGTGTAACCAATGCTTTCATCATTATTATGTCGTGACTTATTTAATCATGATTATATCCTCAATTGTTATTTATTAAATATGAAAAGACCTCAAATTTCTTTTCCTGTAGTTTTGTTTTGCTTTTGATTTTTTGGACTTTCTAGCAGGACCCAGAATTGATAACCTAAGCTTCTTATTTTGTACAAGAAACTTTCCTCGCGCATCTTGCAGTCGTAAATTGAAAGTAATGACACATGTTTTTTATCACTTTTCTGTTCAAAGGGTGGCGCCAGAGAGTTTGTTGGAAGGGAAGTTCACAAGTGCAAGTGATGTGTGGAGTTTTGGTGTTGTTTTGTGGGAGATGTTCACGTTTGGTGAATTTCCGTGGTCTGAATTCAGCTCAAAGGAGGTTTGCCTTTATAGTTTTGCTCATTTTAAGAAGTAAATTAGTTTTTGGTAAATAATTATCTTATTTTGTTACATAAGTAAAGAGAAAAGAGTTTTGGCATGAAGTCAGCAAACTTGTGACAGCTGTCTTTGCTGTTGTCATCCGAGAATCAATTCCAGACTTTATCTGTAAATAGGACGCAGTGATCCATCCTGTCTTACAACTTCAAAGCTTTGAATCCTGTTATCTGATTGCTCAGTCAGTGAACTCTGTTCATTGATAATGCTAACTTTTGTAGAAGACTTTTAAAAAAACTGTCTATGAAAAAGAGCCCTTAGATGACCCAGGAGTTAACGGACCATAGCACTGATCACTTTGTACGTAAACAAACTGATCGATTAGAAGTCATTCTTCTAAAGAGGGATGGAAGCAATTCGCTTCAACGATCAACCACCCATTTTTTGTGTAATGGACGTAAATAAAGAGAAAGACGATCTTCTTGGGATTGAATAGATCGGTGCTCTATTTCATATTATCTCATGTTACATTTTTGTGTTTCAAAAGGTAGCTGTTTAGCATTAGGTATTTAGAAAAACTTTAATCATCATTAAAAATTAAAAATTAAAATTAAAAAACATCATTTTATTGTATTTTATTTATACATTATTGCTGTTCTTGTTTTGTTTTGCATAGGCCGTGTACAATTTAAATTTGTATTGTGCTAAATATATATCAATATAAAGAAATAAAAATTTAGTACTAAAATAAAAAAGAATTAAGAATGCTAATACCGATCTTAGTTTGATATAAAATAATGAAACGTAATATATAAAATAATGAAATAACAATCTCGACGCTCGTTGGAATATATGCCTGCCATGCAATCCATGTACTTGCCTAAGTCGTTGAAAAAATTTTAAGTTGAAGGAACATAGCCGAAACACGCCTTATTCTAGGAAGGAGTTTTAAATTTTTAACTTCCTGGTCGGATGAACGTTTTATGCTTTTTTGAGGTTTTACATTTTTTCTTTGAAATGTTTTACATCTGAAAACTCATCCCTTAAACAAGGTTTTTTATGTAAGATAATGGTATATAGGAAAAGCCTATTGGTACTGAAAGTCGTCCGCTTCTTCTGTCTCACCTTTTCTGTCTTGCCAATATGCCTATTTTCACTTTTATCGCTTTATTTTCAAGGTTATCGAGAAAATTAAGAATGGAGAACGCCTACAAGAACCAGACTATTGTCCTTCAAATATTTATACGCTCGTTATGAAACGATGCTGGGCTGAAAATCCAGAAGAAAGGATGAAATTCGAACAAGCTCGATCTTGTCTTGTAAATGTAAGTGTCATATACCTTGAAAATTTACAATTTGAAGCAGGACTCGAAAATAATTTCCCTTCCCGGTAGCAAGCCAATGACCAACTTAACCTTCCTTTTAATTTTTTTCTCAAGGCAAATGCAGAAAATGAATTGCACCAGTTGAATTTAGTTCAGTTCAACAAGCATGTCGTATTGCCTAGCTGAAGTAGACAAATTTTGATAAATAGCTAGCTACGCTCCATTGATAAATGATGGAAAGTTAAAACATGATTTTCCGTGCAAATGTAGAAAACTCGTAAAAAAATTTGAATGTCAATGTTTTCTAGCATTACTTTAACGTCCCCCTGGATTACTTCATGTTTACTTTCGTTGCTAAATAGTTTAGTGTAAGTTGAGTTATCCATTTAAGGTTGGAATCTTTTTGTTCACACCTACGCCTTTCTTGGTAAATTTGATGGTTTTAGCTTTGTTTTCTGGATTGTCATGTTAGCTCAGCGAATGTCAATTTAGCCTGCCTTCGTAACAAAATTGTTTGTTAAGCTGACCAAGTGGTTAGTTCAGAGCCTCTTTTACTGATAGGCCATACTGGTTAAGCATAGGCCTATTCCATCCAACAACCATGGCACCTATCTCTGCTATTGGTGTTTTATATTTGATCGATGAATCAGCTATTGCTTGCAGGACCATCTCGATTTCATTTGAAAGCCCATTTTTTGCTTGAGAAAGCCTGGACATCAGTTCTTTGCTGCTTGCTCTTGCAAGCTTCTTAACATTCATGCCTCTTGGCACGGTTTCTTAATGTTTCACCAACATCCTAAATTGTGTCTCTAGTATCCCTGCGCCCACTTCTCAAACTTCTCGATTGAACTTAATATTGGAAAATCCTCTTTGAAAGTAAACTTTGTTTATTTAGTAACATTGACTCAAAATTTTGACGGGGACCAACTAAGCCTAATGGACAGGGACGTGCCGTTTTGGTTCAAAATTTGGATTGATAACTCCGCAAACAAATTTTGTGTGTCCTTTGCCCCAAAATCTCATTATAACTAATATTTCTTACATTCCTGTCTAACTGGCCATTCATTTTGTTAATGCTAAATTTTCCTCCTAATAATTTTGCAATATTTCCCTAAAATGGTACCCATAATTCCGCCTATACACCGATAGTTCGGCACTCCAGAGAAAAGGTACCTCTAAAAACTTGCACCGTTACCGTACCTCAAACCTATAAAGGTACCCTCTCCCGCTCTTTCCCTCCCTTTTCCTTTTTCTTTCCTTTTCTACTTCCTCATTTTCCCTTTACCTTTCTGCGAAATTGAACCGTTTCAATTACTTTCCTGGTAGCGCTATCATGCTACTTTATTATTTTTGGCCTTGGTTTGAAGAATATTTTGCAGAAATTGCTAGCAGGGCTGAACAAATTGGCAAATGGTCGTACGATTGCATTTAAAGATAAAGCTATTGTTCATTAAAATGGTATGGCTCGTTACGGTAAAAAAACCAGAAAAAGAAAACGGCATTAAAATCTAAGGATAGAAACATATTAAAGTGGATATTTTAATTCAGCGAAGAGGTGGTCATTCAGAAAAGTCTAAATTGTCATCCAGAAAAACATTTTGATCCCTGGCTAGACCAACCAAATTTTGTCAGTAAATTTTACATTTTTAAATATGCTATGATAAAAGATATGCTTTTTCGTTGAAATGGAAAAGATAACAAGGGTTTTGTTTAACTTGTTTTCATAAGGTTATTTAAGTAATCTATTTAGAATATATGGTAAGGTTTCCTCTTGTAAAACTTGCCGCAAATTTTTGTATGTCCCAATGTTTTGATATTGAGGCAATACGTGGTTTAGTTATTCAGAATATGGTATTTGAAGGTTACACCTTCTAGGGATTTATTTTAAACTTGGAGCATGTCTCAGTAGCTTCTGTTAACGAGTTTATGTTAGAAGTCTTTTGTTCCATGAACATTATTAAATTTTTTTAAGATTTCGCAATCACCTCGTGTTGTTATTTAAGTTTTTGCAGTCAGTGCTGTGGCTGGCTATTTTGCTCAAGCTGGGGTGCTCCCATCCAAAAGTGAGTGAGGCAGCCTTTCTTTGCCGACGGGTCTGAAAATTTGTCAACAAAGCATTCGTTCATAAAAAACTCCTAGTTTGTACAAGTAAATTTTTTTCCAAGAGGCAGTCGAACCCCACCCCCCAAACCCCTGTAGCGATGGCCCTGTTCGCAGTGAAATGTAAAATTGTTTTATTTTACTTCAGTCACGCCAATCTTTATCCTGCATCATGGACTCTATGGTAAACAGTTGTCTCATTTATGTTAACCCTGACAATTTTTCGATCTTGGCACTTTTGTACATATGTTGGGACAGGTTTACTTCATGTCTGTGATGTTAGATCTACTGTTGTGAGTCTCTTTTGTGATATTTCATTCTTGGTACACGAGCATCTTTTTGCTTCTAGATCCACCCAACATCAAGCTTTGCTGTATCCTATCGAAAAGAACTCGGAAAACTCCATTATTCAGTCGGGGATATTATCATAGCTATAAAACCATACCAGTAAGTGCTTTACAAGGTAACTTTTTTATAAGTCTTATGTATCCAATCGTTTTTTATATTGCTGCGATCGATGCCACGAGTAAAGGATGAACCGGGTGCTCTTGAGCTGGGGAGTAGGTGTTCACAAAGAAACAAAGTGACAGTTTTTTTCGCGGACAGTTGTTTTAAACAGATCTTTCTTCGCCTGATTATATCTGTCATAAAAAGGAGAGTACCCATTTATCTTTAAATGTTTCGATTTTTATTTTTGCTTCAAAAAGTAATCGACGAAGACGGATTCATTTATAAAATCCGGCGTACAATGCTCTATTTTTTAAAGCATCCCACATTATTTTCTTCTACTTTCGTTGGCAAGAAAGCAAAACACAAAAGTTGGCAAAGCTTGTGATGCAATTGCTAGATGGAAGTCATGCCAGTGCAACTGCTGTCATCCCGTTGTCTTAAGAAGGGAGGGGGAGATAGTTTTTGGTTTCAATGTTTTATTGAAGATCACAAATGCCGCACTGGTCTCAAAGCAATTTTGGATTTCTTCTCTTGTCCGTTGTTCAACACCCTAGACCTAAAATATGCAGTTGTGTTCTAATGATCTTGAATTCCGCTGGGCATCTTTGCGCGCCGTTCATTTTATATTCGTAGGTTTCTTTTGCTTTTTCAGGGGAAGCTCTGACTTGTGGGTTGGCCAAAATGAAAGAACATTGGAATTTGGGACATACATTAAGTCCGAGACACAGCCACATCTGACAAAGATTCCTGCAGCTTCACCCTCGCATCTTAGTCCTGATAACGGGAACCCAGCGACTATTTCAACCACTTCTTCTGTGACTTATTGCGTGCAAAAGCAAAAGCGGTACGTTTTTCATATAAACAATAATTCATCTTGAATTATTACTTCATATTACAGTTTTAAGTGTTCTTTTCAACGAGCAATGCATGCTTTCTTGAATGGCCCTTTACAAGCTGTTGCTTTTCGGACATTTTCTGTTCTTTTCATGGTCATTGTCCTTCCCACTGTCTCTAACCATGCAACCGCCATGTTTACAGGCTTTATAATTTTGTAATTGCTTAAAAAATTAATTTGTCTCTTATGATATGTAACAAATATGCTTGCAAGATAGTTTGTTTCCAAAGTGTGAGCGACGTTTGTGTTATACAGGAGCCAGCCAATCGCAGTACCGAACGAAGATAATCATGCTCGACATCAAAAACAAAGTAGGCCTGTATCTTTTGACTCGTCACCGTCTTCAAGGAGCCCTCCTTCTAGGAGGCCGCCCTCCATGAGCCCGCCCTCATGCAGCCCACCCTCCAGGAGCCCTCTGTTCGTGTGCGACGAGTCCACGCCCACAGATCGACCGCCGCTTCCTCCAAAGAGGGAAGACAGAAAAATGCCCGTGGACGACATTTTTTTGAATAAGGATTATTTATCCTCTGATACTGAAGCTAGTTTGCAGAATGAAGAATCTTTATATTCAACAATTGATGAATTGAAACGTGAAGTTGATGGGGGTAAGTATTGTTGATATTGCGTTCCAAATGGCGACGTTCTTAGCTTTACTTTATTTGCACAATGTAGACCATATCTTTGGTTGCTAGCTAATCTTGGGTTAATATTTCAATCTATACAGTCGATTCTTTCACCTAACGGGTTATTTTAGCAGAGAATAACCACAACCCCTTGCATACAACGAAGCATATCATCAAAAACTTCATTCAACGTTTAATTAATGAAAAGTTTAATTAAATAGTTAGCCGTTCTGCTATTTAGTCGTGTGGAGCAAAATTTGATCCAGGTCAAAAAAGTTTTAGGTTGTTTAGTGTTGTTTAATCGCTATGCCGGAACTTAAGAAGTTTGAAAAAGACGTTTTTACGGTATGTCAATTTTCCTAGCATACAATAGATTATCACCCATTTTTACATATGCACATGTGTTGTTGATCATCATTAACACTGTTCAGTTAGGTTATTTCTGTAATCGATTTCCTCAAACAGGTCAGAACCTGGATTCAAATGGGCAACCGAGACCAGTGCCAAGTGCTGACAAACTAGCGTCTGGAACTGTACAGCGATATCCATCAATGTACGTGAAAATGCACGAGGGAGAGCAAAACACGAGTGATAAACAGACTCATCCAAATAGAAAACACTCGAACACTGCAGTCGATACGGCGCCCCAACTTCCTTCTCGGCGAATGCCTTTCGATGGCTCGAAGCCTCCAGCTCTTCCACCGAGAAAAATCTCCTCTAGTATTCCTACGGAATCATCAAAACCAACAGACCATAATGGTGAAAAGCCTGGTCCATTGATGTCAAAGAGCGAAGCGCCCACTCCTGATAAACTACTTGAATCAACGCAAAGAAAAATATTAATTTCGCAGAACGAAAACCAACAGGTGATGCAAGCAATCAAGCAGAAAGAGGCCAAAAACACCCGAGCTCGAAATGCTTCTGGTTCCAGTTTGAAAGATTTGGAAACAGAATTTGACAATTTAGCTGTCCGAGAAAAAGCAAAGAAACCCCGAAAGCCTCCCAGAACATCTAAAACTTTTTATTTTGACGATTGTTCTTTGCAGGAAACCTCTCCAGATTACGAGAACAATCTAGTTTTCCAACTAGATCCATCCGCATGGTCAAATTCGGCAAGCAATAGACAAGAAGACATTGTTGTGCGCTCTCGTCCGCTTCCTGCGAATGGAGATTCAGAATCTGATCGTATTGGTTACGCAGGTGTTGCTCCTAGTGAAGGCGTTCTGTTGAAGTTGCATGTGCCTAAAAAGAAATATGGCTCTGCAGAACGTATGAAGAAGCTGCGAAAGACGCAATCACTAGAGTCAGTCTGCGTTGAGCAAAATGAAGGGTGTCCAAACGCGTCGAATCAAGCTGAGAGAGCACGCTCAAAAACAAATTACTTGGACGCTGGATTTTTCAACAGCTCTATCGATAGTGACTCATCTGAAGGCGACGGAATGTTTGGATCTAGTCTAGACAGTATTGGCTATCAAAAACTCGATAGTGAATCGAAGGGCGTTGCCAAGAGAAGGACGATATTTGGTATAAAGCTCAGAAGGAGAAGTAAGAAAGACAGAGATAGTACCGAAAGAAGAAAGTCTTCAATTGAAAACCTAGCTCAGTTGATCACACAGGTAATAGAGGAGATGCCGCTAGCGTCTCAGGCAGATGCTGCCTCTGCTTTAGAGATATCGAGATTCAATGTTGAGGATGCTGTGAAGTTTCTAAAGGTGAAAGAATTGGTTAAGCTAGAGTTATGTCCTCAATCCACCTGCCTTGATATGTTGAAAACGTACGATTGGAATGTTCAAGAAGCGTCTTATGCAATTAAGATACATTACATAATGGCCATTTACCTTGATTTGTCAATGGAAATGGCTGCTAAGTTATTACGAGAGAATGGCTGGAATATCGCCTTTGTTTTGAATTTACTGAGAATACCAATGTACTTAGAAGAAAGCAAAGAAATCGGATTCACAGAAAACGAGGCTACCAAAATGCTGGCCTCGTGTAGGAATGACATTGATATGGCGTTGTGTTCGTTGAAAGTAAAAATGGTTGCGGATATTACGCAGAAACCGCAAGAATACTGCAGGAAAACGCTGGGCCATTGTCAGTGGAAAGTCGATCGTGCAGTGAACTTTATAGTCGAGTCTGGCTAAGTATCTGGCGTTACCTTGGCAACTGCTAAAACATCTTTTCCAGGCAGTACTGGGCAGCAATTCTACTTCATATCATTTTTCAATTGTAATTTTATGACAGCATAGGCACGGGTTTACATTATGGATACAAATATTTTCGATTTTTGCTTTTATGATCTTCTATGCAAATTTTGTAAAAAAATTGATTAGAGTGAAACATCAGATAATTTAAAGTACAGGATATATTGTATTTTGGGAATTTGCAAAATCTCTTTAAAACTTGTGTTTTTGTCTTTCATAACTTTTGCAATAAAGTTTTCTTTTTAAAAGCGCTGATTCACCAATATCCTCACCCAATTTTTCGACTCCTTTTGCCTTTTCTTGAAAATTGGATCCCTGAAAAGTATTCACGATATTCGCCCAGTGGAAACCAAGCTTTAATGCGAATATAACCCTTTTCACGGTTTCTAGCGCCATTATGAATTAGATGAACAAATTGGCACAATAATGACACGCAACAAAAACAAAAATTATACCAAATTCTCAAAATTATTTAAAAAACATTAGATAGAGTTTTTTCAAGATGTATTTGCCATGATCTAAACTTTAAACTATATATTTTTGAGGATAAACAGCTTACAAATATCATTTTGTCTATTTTCTCTGTTAGGTACAGCCTAAAGTTTGCGTCGTTCACAGGACGGCACGTTTCTCTATAAAGCAACCACCTTTTCGTATCAATCAAAGTCCATATAATAGTAAACATATTGGATTGAACTCCTTTCAGTGCCAAAATTCTCTACTATCTCTGTAGGTGTTACTAAAATCAGTTGCTTTATCCTTGGTATCGGGAATAAAATGGACATGCAAGGATAACCCTCTTGGTCCGTCACAGGCTAACCTTTTGTTGGTTTAACGAAAATAAATATGATGCGAGATATAAAAGAAGAAACTGGATTACCTTCCAGTGTATGCAGTAAGCTGACATTTACTGGTCAGTAAGATCGTTGGAATACTTCAGTTTGAATATCAAATCGATAACAATAACGATCTGCTTTTCCGCTATCGAGCTTTGTGTTGTCATGATTCCACCCAATAAAATTAATTGCTTTGCCATTTATTGAAAAAAGTCAAGTTGATTACAAACTTTTGTGCCCATGCAAGGTTGTAATGTTAGAGGGGCTCAGGGGGCTGATCCTCCTTTGATTATATTACTTTGGCTATTGTTTTTTTGCAACATATTGCGCAAGTTACCCCATTGCTATTTTGATAGCACTTCACCCAAACCCACCAGCCTCAGGCCAGTAAAGAGCAGACATAAATGACCCAAATAAATGACGTTATTTGAAAAAGTCAGAATGCCCAAATAAATGACGATTTTTTTTAAAACTGTATCATTTTTTCAAAGTAATAACGTGTTTGTACATGGATAAGGGCATTGTTAGAAATAATAGTTGTTCTCATTACGTGATTTGGTAGCATACGCTCTTTATCTGTGGCTGGATTGTTCCTAATTTGTTCTTAAAGGGTGTAGGCAGTGCAATTGCTAGCTATCGCGCTTTAAAAAGGTTTTCAGGCCTCGTTTGCTAACAAAGAGAGTGAGATATTCTTTTTTTACCGACAAGTTTGAAAATTCACCGAAAAAGCACCCCTAGATGGCATAAAGAACCTCGTTTTAAGACAATACACTTATCAAAATTACATTTTGCAGTAGCACAGCCTCAACTTGTTCTCACTTTGTTCTTAAATTTTAACCAAATTTGAGGCTCATGTTCTTACAAAATTGTTCTTATAAAAGCGAGTGTATCCCGGCATTACAAAATGAAACGATATACTTCTTGCAAGTTCAGTTTTGCATGACCAAATACCTGGTTTTATACGTATTTTCAAAAATCTTAAACGCAAAAAACTTCGTCGTGACCAAATTTCGTCTCCTTTTGAATTTCGTCGAAAAAAATTTTGTCAAAATATTTGTCCGAAATTTTGTCACGACGAAATTTTTTGTAGTCAATGTATATATCTCTTGAGATGATTTTAGGCATTAAAACCAAGAATATGAAAAAGTCTAACAAATTGATAGCCAACTTCCCTACTTCCTGGGAGGGGCTGAGCCCCCCAAATTTTCGCCAGGAGGGGCTCAAGCGAAAATTTACTACTTACAATAATTATTTACATATCAAAGGAAGTCGGTATATCCGGATCTTACAATTCGTTGGCGCACAGCGTGTTGCACAAAACTAGCTAAAATTTTTTGAGTATAAAAATTTCAATTTTGACTGTTGCACGGACAGTTTCTGGAAATACCACAAGATGGTAGAGCTACAAAATAAGGAAGTTGCACTGTTAGAACAAGCAGAATATGACCTTAAAATTTCAAATTTTTTCAACAAAGAGGAGATAAACCCATTTCCTTATTGAAGGGAAATTTGGTGAGGGAATGCTCCAGCGATTTCTTAAAAAACGTTCTACCTATGTTTTTTCTTACGTTTAGGAGACGATTGCTTACATCACCTCAAAACAAATGTTAAAAAGTATTTCCCTCACAGTCTCTAACAGTTTTTTTACGAAATATCACCAAGAGCCGCACCGCATAGTAGTGCCATTATAGGCTCTGACAGGCTGTATGCCACCCCATTTCATTTTATTTAGAATCATTTATGCACGATAGGCACAATGATTGATTTTCAGGGGGCCGTATTGAAAACTTTACTTATCAAAATCTACCAAAACAGATAATAATTAAAGGAAACTAATTACAATCATGTATAGACTAAATACAATCATAAACTATTTAAAAAAAGTTACAGTTAATAGTTATAAGCTTCTGTAAGTTGAGACAAAGGAGAGAAAGGAGAGAAATCTAAACAATTGCTGTAATTCAAGACAATACTAAGATCATGGTGTTAGGTCACGTGATCTTGAATGGGCTGTCTTCATCCTCAAAGATTGGAAAAGAGGTAAATATTCTCAAAGAATTGAATGCCCAAAAAGCGATGATGGTAGCAAAAAGAACTTAAAGGGCAAATTATTCTTTTCAGAGTTCTAGCCAGTTCAGCCATCTTCTTGGTGTTCTGGTTTCCTCTTATTCCTTGTGAAGTTTCTCCTTGACACTAGCGATTGTACCCTATTTGCCATCATCTTTTCTAAGTATGGCGAAGAGGAAGCGGAAGAAGACGAATATGAAGCAGAAGAAGACGATTAGGAAGGAAAAGACGAAAACAAACAAAAGGATGAGAAAGAAGAAGAATAAAAAAGTAGAATTTTATAAGAAGAGGAAGAAGAAGATGAAGAAGAAGAAGGAAAAGAAAAAAGAGAAAGGGGAAAAGAGAAAGAAAGTTATATGGAAGTAGTTGGCTGTTGTGTCACGGCCCTTTTGCCATCGTGGTCGCGTCTTTGCGCTTTATTTAATACGGATTTGCAACTTTTTTACCCCTATAATAGGCCCCCCTAGGACTTCAGAAGCATTTAATCTTTTTAAAAAGCTTCTTAAGACATATTATTTTTAACTAGCTTTTAACTCTTCATGAAGTAACTTTGATACTTTTCTTACACGGGGTATTGGACACTAAAAAGCGCCAACGATAAACATGTTTTTATTCGATAAGCAGGTTTTTTTGCACTCCTTAGAAAAGCTGGATCGCCTTCGGCGCCCCCTGCTTGTCACTGGTAGGGTATGTACCCCCTGATCCCCGGCCACCACACCACTGATCAGTAACCACGCCTGCGAAACAATGAAAATTTACATAGAATAAGGCAAATAGAAGGTAAATGTAAACCCAGAATCAGCGTTGAAGTCCGCTGGACCGTTTCTCTCTTCACAAAAAGGGGAGTTCGCCGGTGATGTCCATAAAAACATAGACAGCTTGAATATGGCCAACCCGTAGGCGACATCCTTTGCATTGCATATCATGGCTGTTAAAAAAATTTTAAAGAACAAAAATTTCAAACTGTTAATTGATAAATTTTCATATGTCGTGAAGCTAAAATTGCTAAAGTCGAAAGCCTGCATTGAAAATATGCTATTATGACATTAGAAGGCCTACGGCCTAGCCAGCTTATTTTAGGATCGGCAAAATCAATTCTGTTAAAGACCTAACTTGTATGTCTTATTTCAAAGTTTCAAAGCTGAATATGCGAGTCATCAAATACTGCTGCGTTCCACTTCAAGATCAACATTGCCTATCACAATAACAAAATTTCAGCTACCGTTGAATTGAATTACTTGGGGCTAGTTTGAATTATTTTGAGCAAGGAATGCAGATACAAGCAGAATTGGCCAATCAGACGGCAGTCATCAATTGAATAGTTGAGTCATGAGCAGGGGCGGTCTGGCCCGGGTGGCAAAGTGCCTATCGCTGCCCGGGCCCTGTGTAAAAAGATTTTTGCCGGCCCTTCCTGCGTTGGAGAAAATTTTTTTAACATGAGGTGAAAGACTTAATGCCCTAGATTGATTATTTTGCGATTAAGCCCCAATTCAAGCACTTCAAACCACCCAAACCCTGGTTTCCGTTATTTAGGCCATGTGTTAAGTCAGACGTGGATCCAGCCAAAATTTTGACCAGTTTCGGGGTGTTTTTCCCGGTTACGGTTCTGTGTTGTTGGTCCATGATAGATATTGCCAAAAGTTGCTTTTGAGGTTAGTATAATGTGATTAATTTGCCCACACTTTATCTTGCCGCAATTTACTCGGTCCATTTGATCCTCTTCTCAGAGACGGGTGGCTGGGGGGTGGGAGCTGAAAATGAACCTGGGAGGGGAGCTGAGAATCAAGTTTAATGATATAGGAGGACCCACTGGTTGGGTCCGACGCGAAAGAAAATTTTTGAAATTCAGCCTTCTAGAATGGCTAAAGATTCATCTCCCAGACTAAAATTTAACAAATTACTATAACCCTCAGAACAGAGAATTCAACGATGTTCAAAAAAACGGCTTCTTTATTTTTAGGACAAAATTGGGAGGGGCGGAGTCATGCTAAAACGTTAGTGACAGACGTTGAGGTAAGAAAGGGAGGGTGACCTTTGGTTCAAAGTGCACATATAATTCTTGAATTTTTCTGTCTGTCGTTTAAAACCTAATATGGCATGAGTAGAGCAGTGCGAATGTTTTATATTTAGTTTGTCAAATTGAATTTGTAGAAAAGAAATTTGATATGATCTCAAGGAACAAGCTCTTAGAGAAGAAACATATGGAGAGGAAAACTGTGACTTTCAAGGTGGGGATTCACAAAGAGAGAAAGGACCCCAAAGTCCACATCGACACCCTTTATCAAAAGGGTAAAAGCTTGCCAACTGTGCATACCCTGCGCATTTAAAACTTTGTACCGACGCTCATTTTATTTTTAATATATATTTATATCTTTTATCATATATAACAATTTTATAAGAATATGAGCATCAAAACTGGTCAAAAGTTGGGATCAAATTAGGAACAAGCTAAGGCTGAGTTACTGTTTAATGCATTTTTTAACAACATTTTATCCCAAAACGAGGATTTTTAGCCATGTGTGGTTGCTTTTCGGTGAATATTCAATCTTATCGTCAAATGAAGGCTGTCTCACTCACTTTGCTGGCAAATAACGCCTGAACACCTCCCAAGAGCGAAAAAGCTAGCAATCGCACTGCTTACACCCTATTAATTAAAGAACAAATTAAGGACAATCCACCCTCGGATTTTTGTGAAAATTAAGAACAGTCAGCCTAAACCTAAATTTACTGGTTTTTCTAAAAAAATTAGTGAATACAACATGCACCTAGCAGCATACCCTTCCCTCTACAACGCGTATAAATGCTTGGTGACACTTAGCTGCACCCAAGTTTCCTTTGAAAGATTATTCAGCGCTACTGATAACTTCAAAAGAAGAGAAAACTTTCCACTTGATTACGAGCAAGTCATTGCCAAATTTGCTGATTCATTTGCACTTCTTCGAAAAGAGTTGAAACTCTGAGAATTTAAATAAGTTTTGATCTTGATTCTTAACTCTACATGGGATTTTAAAGCCTGTTTACACGAGAGGAATGGTATGGATCCAATTGGGTCCGCATTTACGAATTAAAGTCGATATTCTGCTGCTTTTTAGCGTATTGCTTTATTATCAATTTTTATTGAATCGATCGTATTCTAAGCCACATTTTTAGTGGGTGTGGCTCAATTTTTCCCGCAACGCCCTAAACCGAGCCCTTGAGTTTTCTAGCACCCTGCGATTTTGACGCCAGACCGCCCTTGGTTTCGAAGCTGCTTATATCTTGGCCATAGTGCTGGATCTCTCTCAGCCCGTCTTTTAATATGGTCTCTCTCGCACTTCAAATTCTTGATGCTTGGAGAAATCCATGGTACATGTGCATGCCCCGTCTTAGCGGTCCTTTTTTCAACGGGGCATGCACATCCAAGACAGCGAGAAAGAGATCGTAGAAATTGCTAGCCATCCTATAAGGGTCATCCGATCTACACGACATAGCCATCTCCCAGTCAATACTACGCAAGTCATTAAGGAAAGGGTCACGGTCATAATTTTTCAATTTGCGTGACTCTGTCTTAAATTTCACGTCATTGACATTTCACGTTTAATTTTCTAATACCGTATTTTACATTGTGGTCTGTAATACCGATTTTTACAGAGGTTGTTGGGTCTGTTTGAAGAAAGGTGATCTATTAACTAAAAAGTTTTATTAGGATCTTTATCTTTCTTTTAGTTAAGTTAAGTGAGCTTCTGCTAGATGCCCAGAGCATGTTAGGGCAACTGATAAATTATTACTGAATGTTTTATCTTCGACAAGATCAAATTACGAAATTTACAGCAATGCTGACATTTACAAGTAGATGTTTTGTTTCTGGCTCTGGGCATTTCGCTTTGTTTTGAGTTTTGATAAGATGAGTCTTTCCGATGGTCATACGAGAATTACAATACATGAACTCTATATCGAACTGACGAGGAAAATTCACAATTTTTTAACAAAGCAGGAATCTGAGATAGCCGCAAACAGGGGCGAAACTACCGGGGGGTGTGGGGGGGGGGGTGTGACACCCCCAATCCAAAAAATAGTTGATTTCGCAGGGCAATCGAAGATTTCGCAGGGCGCCAAGAAGAGCTTTATTGCCACGCAGAAATGCCACCTCTGAAGTTCTTAAAGAGCCGTTTAGGAATTTTGAAATGGAAATATCGTATTTGTTATGAACCTCCCTTCCTGACATTGCATTTTAGAGAACGGAACAGGTATGTAAGGAAAAGCTCTGTTATTTGCAAAGCGAAAGCATTTCTTACCGAAAGTCATAGCCAATGGATGCAATGATTGATGCATATGTTTATGAGGGCAAGGTTGAGTCATGAAAATTAATTTAAGTTGTAAATTATTTTCATGACAAGCACGGCGTCACTGGGGAGGGGGGGGGAATAAGGGGCTGAAGTCCCTCACTTTGGTCAAGATAGGAATTTTTTTATCATTTTTTCTATTACTTTTTAACAGTGCATGAACTAAAAAACATAATAAATAAATCGTTAAGATACCGATTTTGTTTCATCTAATTGCTAACTTTTTCACGTATATTTTTATTATTTTTCTTTTATTTGCATTAATTCAGTAAATCATTTTATGTATCATTGCAATGTTTTAATTTTGGATGTGTAAACATGGCCTTCTTGATACAAGAAACTGCACATTTCTGTTCAAGAAAAAAAATTCTCCCAATCAAAACAACATCTTTCTCTGTGATTCACAACTACGTGCAATCTGAAACGAAAGGTTGCCGTTTCTTTCCTTCCCCAACGTCTAACACTAGAGTTTTAGCATGACATCCCCCTCCCTATTTTTCCCAATAAACAATAATTTTTTTCAATAAACAATCAGTTCTTTTAGCACGATAGTATTTTGCTAAATTTTTGTCTGAAAGATGCTTTTTAGCCCTTTTTACAAGGTATAATTTCAAAAAATTTCTTCACGTCGGACCCAACCATGGTGGGTCCTCCTACCTCACTAAACTCGACTCTTAGCCCCACTGGGTTAAATTTCGTTGCGCTGTCTACATCATGTACACCCCCCCCCCGCCCCAATTAGCTGTTTATTAGCTTAATTTTGCAAACCAACATTAAATGAAGTGAATATAAAAGAACAATTTACGCTCACGTAGAGAAATAGAAATTTCATAGGCAATGAAGTTTCAATTTTGTTTTTATTGCTTAGAAGTTTGTCCTTGGTAAAGACCAGTGTACACTGGTAAAGCTCTCACTAGTAACCTATAGACAAACCGTTGCTACGAGGTCTGCAGGGCACCACTCAGTTTTGCAGGGCAGAAACCCTTTTCACCCCCCCCAAAACTATTGGCCAAGTTACGCCCCTGGCCGCAAATAGACATTTTCACAAATCCCAAAATTCAATACTGCACATTTTGAAAGTCAATACTGCACGTTTTTACTGCAATACTGCACAATTTTGGAAGTCAATACTGCAGTATACTGCAATACTGCAAAATTTTGGAAGTCAATACTGCAGTAATACTGCACAAAGTTTGTAATACTGGACACTAAAATAGGCCCTGGCCCTGGAAAGAGCATTATCTTTCAAGAAAGGAATATGCACAAATCACATAACATAAAAAAGGCAATATTGGAAAGATCCTCTTCCACATAAATTTTCATTTAATTTGCATCATTTATTTATCATTATGACCGTAAACATTTGTGTGAACCCTCTCCCTCCATCTTTGATGAGGTAATGTGTGAACGTTCCCATACCCAACTGCCAACGGATCGATAATCTTATCTAGATACAACCATTCTGAATGGAAATAACATAGGATAGTACTCAGAAGTAAGAGCCTTCTCAGCTATTCGATATCAGGCACTTGAAATAATTCGCATTAGTCATAATTGAAGAAACTAATTTGCGTTAGTCATAAAACATCTGCGTTAGTCTCCTTGCAAGATAAGGGAGCATTTTGATGCAGCAATTGCTGATCAGCAAGCAGCATCCCAGCAAGTTAAAGAAAAACAAAAAACAGCAGAAATGGAAAAAGCTGAAGAAATGTGAAGGAAACCAGTAGAAACAATTGGAGAAAGCAGGAAGAGAAAGGAAGAGGTGGTAAAAAATGTAAGTGAAAAGGAACGTAACGTTCGGCAGAAAATCTTTCAAAATTATTCAAGATGGAATCGGAGTTGGCAGTTGACTCAATCCGGGCTGAATTACAATTGCGTTTGGAAACCAACTTTAGACCCACTTTCCGTTTAGAATACAAATTGAAGAGAGTTTACCCTGGGTGAACTCAACACAGGTTGAACCCGGGTAGCTTTTTGTGGTGTAAACCGGTAAGTCGATTGGAAATAATTCCACTTGCTTTCATTATTAAGCGTCGGACAAAGAGTTCAAGTGAGTTTTGTCCCACTTTTCCGAGCTATTTTGAACATATTTTCTTCCTTGTACTCATATTGTAATTTTCTAGAGGTATTTTCAGTCATTCAATCAGTTCAATTTTGTGTAGACACAACATGCTCGATGCATTCTAAACAACAAGTTACACCATTCCATCTTTTCCTCTCTTGGGTACAGATAAATTTTAGCTGTAGGTCAGCGCTGTGAGTTATTTTTCTCCGATTGCAGTAGCTGCCTAAAAAAATCACCATATCTTTGAAACGGGTTCAGATTTGTAAGGGTTATTAATTTCTATAGACTTAAAACTGAAGCAACGAACATCGTAGCGAAATCAGTTTTGTTGATTTTCTTGACTACTTAGATAAAATATGAATCAAAATTATGGACGAAAATTTGCATAAAAAAAAGCATAACTAAAGAATTTTCGTGGGATTTTCAGAGTTTTTTTAATGTTCGCAACTTTTTAAAAATATAATTTTCGCAAATTTAGATCTGCAAATTTTTTTGATAAAAAATAAATTATACTTTTTTGCTTTGCTTTCCTTTTTTAATGAATGTTTAGCGAAGGGCGGGGAAGGGGGGAGTGTGAGAAGTGAAGTCATTGGCAAAATAATAGAGGGATTCATAGAGGTGGTGACACAGGGGGGCAGGGGGCCTAAAATTCTTTAAATTATAGGTCATATCATTTATGCATGACCCCGTCATTAATGTCAAATGTCCTGTCTACATTAAACCGGGGCTGACTCGGCCGGGGCTGACTCGGCCGGGGCTGACTCGGCCGGGGCTGACTCGGCCCGACTCGGCCCGGGCTGACTCGGCCCGGGCTGACTCGGCCCGGGCTGACTCGGCCCGGGCTGACTCGGCCCGGGCTGACTCGGCCCGGGCTGACTCGGCCCGGGCTGACTCGGGCCGGGCTGACTCGGCCCGGGCTGACTCGGCCCGGGCTGACTCGGCCCGGGCTGACTCGGGCCGGGCTGACTCGGGCCGGGCTGACTCGGCCCGGGCTGACTCGGCCCGGGCTGACTCGGCCCGGGCTGACTCGGCCCGGGCTGACTCGGCCCGGGCTGACTCGGCCCGGGCTGACTCGGCCCGGGCTGACTCGGCCCGGGCTGACTCTGCGGTTTGAAATAATGTATTGTCAGCACAAAAGAGGGTTGAGCCCAGTTAACTTTTCTACTGCGCATGCGGAATAAGGTTTCGAATTGAAAAAGGCCGCAATTTTTTCTGCATCTCTTCACACAGCTTGTGCATTCTATTAGACTTTAAAGGGGAACTGAAGTGAAAAATGAAAATCATTTAATTAGTAGTTTTCATCGTGCTGATTTCGAATATCGACACGAAATTAGTGTTTTACTTTTCGTTTTCCTGCATTTAACGCGGAAAGTGTGAAATTTCTCCATTTCCGTGGCGGAGAGGTCTGGAGACAAGTTTCAGGCGCTGACGTAAAGTCGTGGACACGTGCCCCGAACCTAACGAAAACAACAGTGTAGTAGAGTGAATCGGAGGGAGGGAATTTGGTTAGTAGGTAAAATTTCAGATCGCAATTTTCACGACAGCTCTTCAGGAATGACAACAGACTTAAGATCGAGCGACGATGAAGTGTTTGGAGCATGTGGTGGTGAAGTACTTGCCCTACCAAGGGCGAACGGGACCTGCGAAAGTGGCGATGAAGATTAGCCTAGGCCCGATGAGATCCCAGAGGATGAGGATGAATTATCTCCCGCGACGTGCTCGTTTTGTTGGTAGAAATGAGGAAGTAAATAAATGGTACGTCGATCCTTGTTTTTTTTCTTGCAATGAAGGCAAGAAATACTCAAACTCAATTTCCTTATTTCCTTATAAAAAGTAAGATACAACAGAGAATGAGTAGGCTTCCTATTATAATCTTTCCATTTCTAAAATCTGAAATAATAAGGATTATTACATGTTACAATTTAATAAATATTTGCTTTGATATAAAAACGTTTATACATAGTTTGATGTGTAGCACGGAACAGGTCGACCTAATCCACTTTTGGTTTAAAAGCTGGTTTGTTTTGTGTACATTGACAAGTATTATTAAATCTTCCTGCAATTCAGATTTTTGGACTGATAATTCGAAAATGTCAAATATTTAATAGAATTGCATACATATGCCTAAAATAGAATAATACCTAAAATTATATCCACTTTGCTAGGTATCTACAAACAGTGGCCGATCAATGTATGGTTTGCTGGTTTTTGGGTATTTGTGCTGGAATAACTGGACAACTTTAAGTATGCATTTATCACAAATGTAAAGAAAAGAACTTTAGTCAAAGAAGACAAGAGTTTCAAAATTCTGCAGAGAGACAATGAAAATGCAAAAATCAGCTACCTACTACATATACAGTGGAGAACATGGTTATATACACGGGGTTATTCAAAAGGATCAGACTTTTAGTTCATAATAGCAAGAAGAGAAATTTGTTGAAACTAGTGGGACAATGGCCAAATCTTGTCAGCCCTAGGCCAAATCACTAGATTAGTCACATCAAGGGGGGGGGGGGATTGAGCAAGGCTTGATATTTTTAAGATTCCTAAGGTGTACTTTTCAACATAGTTCACTCACATCAAAATGTGTAGAATAGTTTGGATTTGATCAAGATTTTCTCTTACAATAATGGTCCTGTACCACCTTCTTGGTAACATTTTTTATAAATAATCAGAGGAAAATGTTTTACCTTCAGGGTACAATGTTCTGTTAATGTATTCTGTCACTGCCTGTTGTTTAGATACACTGTTTTTAAATTTTGAGAATGAAGTTTTTTTGTGCCCAATGGTTGTATTTTTCTGAAATTCGCTTCAACTCAACATTTAATAAACTTGGAAACATATACATCATTTAATGGTTGTGCTTTAAATCTTCCCCCTTTATGTACATCCTGGTATGAATTGTTTTTTATGCCTGGAGTTAAATCAGAAAGTGCTTTGATATCATATTCTGTAGACAAAGCATGAGAAATCATGTTTGAAGGGGTATTTCTGAAGTGGGGGACCACTTTTATCATTTTCTGCAAGTAAATTGTGTTTGGTTTGCCAAGTTTCATGGCTGTATAGTTAACATACTAACGTATTCTGAGTACTGGGCACAAGTATCAAGTCTAAAAATAGTACAAGGGTAGTTCTGAGGATGGGGACCATTTTATCTTTTTCAGCAAGTCAAATTGTGTAGATTTCCCAAGTTTCATGGCTGTATGGTTAACAGAAATATATTTACCATACTATTGTATTCTGAGTACTGGGCACAAGAACCCCAGTCCAAATAGCACAAAGGGCATTTCTGAGGGTGGGGACCATTCTTATCATTTTCAGCAAGCCAAATTGTGTCGGTTTGCCAAGTTTCGTGGCTGTATAGTTAACAGAAATAGATTGACCATACTGACGTATTTTGAGTACTGGGCACAAGTACCCCAGTCTAAAAATAGCACAAGGGGCATTTCTGAGGGTGGGGACCATTCTTATCATTTTCAGCAAGTCAAATTGTGTCGGTTTGCCAAGTTTCATGGCTGTATAGTTCACAGAAATAGATTGACCATGCCAACATATTCTGAGTACTGGGCACAAGTACCCCAGGCTAAAAATAGCACAAGGGTTTTTTTCCCAAAATGGGTCTATATTCTATCTTGTTACGCATATCGAATTCTGTATTTTCACCAAGTTTCATGCTTTTATCACAATTTTCACGATTGTTACCTGTCATGAACCTTATCAAACTCACTACTACATTTCATCAAAACATCTCTTCGTGTCCACCACTTTACGTCACAAGGTCACGTGACACAGTGGTCTGACCGCGTTCTCGCTCCGCCATCGATGAGGGCAAATTTCGACTTTAAAAACTTAATAACTTAAAAACTACATAACGTATTTAAAAAATTCAAACGGCTTTTGAATCAGCACGGGAACCTTTATCAGTGGTAAAAAAATCGTTTTTCACTTCAGTTCCCCTTTAAAGTTATGGTAATAGTTTTCTGGACGAAACCATTTTTCGATTTTTCCACTTTCTAGAGCCGAACTTTCAAGGCAGACAATTATAACCATGTTTGAAACTAGGAGAAGTTTTGAAAATGCCAAAAATTTCATGTAAAAGGAAGTTTCCAAAACTTCTTTATCAAAACTACTAGTTGAGGTCTGAAAATCACTTGACCTGTTAAGCCGATTATCGTTGCTTTGCGGTTGTGGTCGCATGTCTCATTTACAATGTCGCATGGCACATCCATGTATCCAATGTATGACTGTGTTTATTCAAACAGGCTTATTCATCTTAACGCTTCAAGTGGCTTAACCCGGATTTCACCGTGGTTTACGAGTGTACCTTGCACGTGCGATCAGCAAATTTCCTACGTTTTCTACGAACTTACAACCCTTCTACATACAGTTACGAAAAAGCTATTTTGTACCCAAGGAACTAATCGAATGGCTCAAAAATTTGCACACGCTGCTTGCTGATCAGCAATTGCTGCATCAAAAAGCTCTCTTATCTTGCAAGGAGAACTGGCAAGATGTTTTTTCTGTGTGCTCAGGGCTAATTTCACTTGCACTTTCTTCTCTTCTATTTTTGGACTTTTTGTTGGTGAAAATATTCTGGAAGTGATCTCTCACTGCTTTGTAGGATACACCAAATTTTTGCATTTCTACCTGCGAAAACTATCCAGTTTTTCTCCACCCATCGAATCTCAGCCTACCAGGACACTTCGAAATTTCCCGGTACGCCCTTGCTTCGAGTTATAATTTTCGAAAGGCAGTTATTAATAATCGCAAAGAACTAAAATTGATAACAACCATCAATTGACCTCTCGAAAGAACGTTTGCATAAAAAGTTCGCCGTGGTTATGGTTTCGGCGTCATAAATTTTATAGTTTAGTTAGCTTCACCATAAAATTGAGAAAAACCGAATTAATGATGTATCAAATTACCACCAGTTTTTTGCCAATTCCTCATAATTGTACAATTTATTGAACAATTTTTCGATATCTTCAAAAACGGCCAAGACCTATGATTAACCAAGACTTATGACTAACGCAAATTAGTTTCTTCACTTATGACTAATGCGAATTATTTCAAATACTTCATATCGAATAGCTGAGAGGGATCTAACTTTTGCAGCATTAACTTAGTACAATCCTATTTTCTTTCCATTCAAAATGGTTGTATCTGGATAAGATTATCGATGCGTTGGCAGTTGGGTATGGGAACGTTCACATATTACCTAATCAAAGATGAGGGAGGGGGTTCACACAAATTTTTACGGTCATAATGATCAATAAATGATGCAAATTAGATGATAATTTAGGGGGAAGAGGATTTTTCCAATGTTGCCTATATTTTGTTATGTAATTTGTGCATGTTCCTTTCTTGAATGATAATGCTCTTTCCAGGGCCTATTTTAGTGTGCAGTATTACACACTTTGTGCAGTATTAATTTAAAAACGTGCAGTATTGATTTCCAGAATGTGCAGAATTAAATTTTGGGATTTGTGAAAATGTCTTTTTGCGGCTATCCCAGATTCCTGCTATGTTCACAAAATGTGAATTTTCCTCGTCACTTGGATATAGAGTTCATGTATTGTAATTCTCGTATAACCATCGGAAAGACTCTCTTATCAAAACTTAAAACAAATCGAAATTCCTAGAACCAAAAACAAAACATCTCCAGTAAATGTCAGCATTGCTGTAAATTTCGTAATTTGATCTTGTCGAAGATAAAACATTCAGTAATAATTTATCAGTTGTTTTATGATGCTCTGGGCATCTAGCAGAAGCTCACTTAACTTACCTAAAAGAAAGATAAAGAGCCTAAAAAAACTTTTTTGTTTTACTGTCCAGACAAAACATGAGATAGTGAATCCGTTTACAAGAGATGAATGACTATGTTTCTACTCAGGTTTTGTAGCTTCTGTTTGTTTTGTTGCTTTTTTGAAATGTTTTTATTGATTGTGTATATTATCGTCTATCTGTTTGTGATTTCTCCGTCATGGCCGATACACGTGTTCAAAATTCGGGCAATTTCCTCGCTACACTTGCATGGCCAAGATACCTGGGGTATCCAGGGATTTGCACTGATTACAACAACAAAATTTCCTTTAAAAAAATATGATTATAAATGTGTAGTATTGAAAATTTTTAAAAATGAGCAGTATTGAAATTTTCTTAAAATAGGCCCTGGCCCTTTCCTTGGACCATCAAATATCCCTTAATAGTTAAGTCTGCGCTAGGAATGATAAAGGACAAAAATTTTTAAACGTCCTGTGACAGGCTATTTAATTTTGCATTTCAACTAAGAACTCAAAGGCATCTTGATTTTGTATTTGAAGCGCTAAAACTCCTGCGTTTGGTACTAAAAATAAATTTTGTCCAACTTTTTTCAAAAGTCGTGTCTAGTGACAAACGGAGCTTTTTATCCCCTGACTTAAGACCAGCCGTACCCCCCTCCCCTTCTCCTTGTTTGGAATTTGGCAGAAACACCACAAACCTGGAATTCTACAGAAAGAGCCTGGAAAATATGAAACTCCTACAAGTATTAATAAAAGATTAAGCCGTAAGTTTTGAAAATAACTTATTAAAGTATTCCAATCTTTCCTCACACTTAAATAATTTTCGTTACTGAATAATAGGTATCTGTGTTTTTTCTTAAAAGATTCTTTGTCCTTTTTACCATGTCTTTCTCATACAGACGGAGCCCATCAATCTGCAAAATTATCAATTTGCACAAACGGGTGGCATGAGGATCCCTTAGAACCCACTTTTCCAAATGATGTTGTCAGATATCTTTCTGAAAAGTCATTAGTTTTATAAGCACATGTTCAATACCTGACCATAATTACGCATAGTTGTACGGGCATCATACTAGGCTAGTAGGAGCTAGAGTCCCTCTTTATTTTTTCAAAGAAACGTTTTAAAACTTTCAAAAATTCATAAATTACCGTTTGATGAGAATGAAGTCATTAAATTTTAGAAGATTGCGTGTTTAATCGAAAATAATCTCGTCTTCTACGCTGGAAAGAGAAGTTGCTTTCTCTGTAAAATCTTAGAAGATAGTGTCGCGCTAACTGAAAAATGGCTTTAGGCTTCGGGCTTTAGTCTAACTTTCAAAATCTGCAAACCACTTTACATCATTTGACACCTAAATATTTTGCCACCCTTTCAGAGTTTCAAATACAGTCAATTTGACTGAGAATCTTCTTCCCAAAGCAAATTGTGAAAAGAAAAGACATTAAATTTCGGTATTTTCTGAATTTCCAAATAACGTGATATAAAATTATTTTCCGGGGACAACAGGGACGGCGCCACCCTAAAAATTCATTGAGCCCCTCCGTCGGCACTTCAGTTTTTGAAAAATGTTAAGCAATGTCGGCACTTTCATAACTTCCACTTCGTGATTTTTTTTATTTTTTTTTCATTATTTGACTCTTTTTCAGTTATTTTATTTTTTTGAATTGGAATTACCACAGCGGAAATGGTGTTATGTTAGATCTCTGTTGGTGGTTCACTCACTGTCGGCTCTGTGACATTACAGCCCCCCAGCATTTCTTTTCTGGCGCCATCCCTGGGGAGAAGCCCCCGTTTTGCTTGCAATATAATTCAGCGGCCCTGGCAGACTCGGCCCGGGCTGACTCGGCCCGAGTACTGGTTTCTATAAAAAAATTAGTGAATACAACATGCACCTAGCAGCATACCCTTCCCTCGACAACGCGTAAAAATGCTTGATGACACTTAGCTGCACCCAAGTTTCCAAGTTTTTGAAAGATTATTCAGCGCTACTGATAATTTCAAAAGAAGAAAAAACTTTCCACTTGACTACGAGCAAGTCATTGGCCAATTTGCTGATTCATTTGCACCTCTTCGAAAAGAGTTGAAAATCTGAGAATTTAAATAAATTTTCTTGATTCTTGATTCTTAACTCAACATGGGATTTTAAAGCCTGTTTACACGAGAGGAAAGGTATGGATCCAATTGGGTCCGAATTTACGAATTAAAGTCGATATACTGCTGCTGTTTAGCGTATTGCTTTATTATCAATTTTTATTGAATCAATCGTATTATAAGCCACATTTTTAGCGGGTGTGGCTCAATTTTTCCCGCCACGCCCTAAACCGGGCCCTTGAGTTTTCTAGCCACCCTGCGATTTTGACGCTAGACCGCCCCTGAGTGGGGTTTTGAAATAGTTTAAAAATATCAATGATTATATTAAATCAAAAATTGCTTACCATATTTAGATTCTGTTGTTAATATCCAAGCATTGAATTTTGACCTATTGTAAAACCACTTAAAAAGGGGTTTTACAAACGTGTGTTCGTATGTCGTTCGCAGAAACGTACACGATAAATACGGCAAAAACTGTTATCCAATTCGCTAATTTCTTACACTTCTTCTAATTCGTCAGTTCACGGCAAACGACTAAAGAAATCTTAAACGGCTAACGACGAAAATGTAACGGCAAACACAATTCTTCAAGCTAGCGACAAGGTACACTGAGTTCGACAAAGCTTACGGCAAGACTGAACCTAACTATAAAGCCACCCCTTATATACCCTAAGAATAATACAATTTACAGAAGCTGATGCAATTGCAGCGCAATGATGCAATTGTCATGTGATGTCCTGCAATGAATGGGAACCCTGTGTTCTAACATAGCCCCCTCCTTTGAAAACAAGCCTCCTGGCTTGGTCTTCTTGTGGCGTTTCTTCTTCGCATTTATA